AATGTGCTTGCAAGGGATGTGTGCACTTTCAAAGAATGATGTTGGGAGAGGTGTTGCCATGTGCCTGAAGCAGTCTGAAAATGCCTGCAGAATGCTCAGACTTCAGGCCACTGAGCAGTTTACAGAGCTGGTCACATAGGCAACCAAACAGGTCAAGGTGCCCAAGGGCGTGACCACCAGTAAGGCCCGCTGCCCTGAATGGCAGGGGGGGAAGGTGGCTGGTGTGCTGCAAGCTTTGCTGCTAGCTGGGCCTATGGCCCTGGGTGCCTCACTCCCCATCCTGCACTCCTCCCTCTTCAGCAGGAGCTCATTGGTGACTCCAGTGTCAAGCTGAGTTGTGGTCCTGCAAGAAAAGCACCAGGATGAAGAGCAGGGCTTGTACTCAGAGTGGCCAGAGCTTCTAGGGTGGCATATGCTGGTCCCACAAGGTGCACCTCGTGTCTGGAGGTGCTCACCCCACAGCTGCACGTCATCAGGCAAGAGCAAAAGCAGCACAAAGTCCCTGGAGGAAACCTGAGGGTCTGGCCTCTGAGATCTGGAGGCAGGTCCCTGGACAGCAACACCATCTCCCAGCTAAAGCACTGGGCTTAGGACCAGCTCTCCAAGATGCCCCTGACCCCTTGCTTTCTCATTCAGCCTGAAATCCCCAAACTAAGGAGGAGGTGCCAGCTGGTGATCCAGTGAAACAGCTCTCTGGAGTGCCGCCACCCTGGCCTTAGTGTCACCTGTTTGCAGAGGGGCAGACCTCCCTTTGGGGGAAACTTATCCCTTACTGTCTGAAGCAGTCTCTGGTTGAGCAGGATTCCCTCTTCCTACAGGCCTGGGCCCTTTTCCCCCAACATTTAGCTAAGCTGAAGTCCAGGGGAGTCACTGGGCTGTTGCCAATGTCCCAGGTGTCTGGTCTACCACCGGTGGTCTACCACTGGTCTACCACTTCAGCTGGAAGATTAAAGACTCTTTGGGGTCCCAAGATCTACAAACTGGCCACTGGTCTCTGGTCTTTCACAGGTATGCTCTGGGTGACCCCTGAAATCAACCTCCTGGTAGAGCCCACATGGCCCAGCCCACTGTCCCTGACTTGACAGCACAATGCCACCTTGCACGGACCTGTGGGACTGTGAGGGACACCTCTGTGTGCTCGTCCCACAGCAAAGGAGACCTGCTTGCATGGTCTTTGGCTGCTCCAGGCAGACTGGCTGCATCAGACCTTAGACATCTCTCCGTGTGGCTGGTGGCTGCTGCCACACCTTTCAATGGCAGTGTTGTTGTCCTTGAGCCATTGGCTGGCTCTGTCACCTTTAACACTACCCAACGTCATGTGTTTGGCTTTACAGTTGGCCAGTGGCCACCCAGCAACCAGCCCCAGTCAAGGTATTGGATGACACTCCACCCCAGGCACCTGGTATCCCCATGAGTTGGGACAGCCTCAAAGATTTCGGGTTTTGTCTTTCTCACCTCCTCCAGGTCCATCATCTCCCCTCCTTTTCCTGTAAAGGTCAGGATAAGGGATTACAAAGGCCTGTTTAGGAACTTCAACTTTGGCTTAAATAAATCAGGCTGTTAATTTTTGTAAACAGTCTTATTGATTAGAGGTCACATACCATATATTTCACCCATTAAAATTTTTTTCCCTTATTGATTTTAGAGAGAGAGGAAGTGAGAGGGAGAGAGAGATAAAAACATCCATGACAGAAAATATCGATTGGCTGCCTCCTGCATGCCCTGCACTGGGGATCTGGCCCACAACCTGGGCATGTGTCCTGACCGGGAATTAAACCGGTGACCTCTTGGTGCATGTGTCAACACTCAACCACTGAGCCACACTAGCTGAACTACATTTCACCCATGTAAAGTGTACAGTTCAGCCCAGCTTGTGTGGCCCAGTGGATTGAGCATGGTTCCATGGACTGAGAGGTTCCCAGTTCAATTCCCTGTCAGGGCACATGCCCAGATTGCAGGCTTGATCCCTGATGGGGGGTATGCAGGAGGCAGCCAATCCATGCCTCTCTCACATTGATGTTTCCATCTCTCTCTCCCTTCCTCTCTCTAAAATAATCAGTAAAGCCCTGGCCAGTTTGGCTCAGCGGTTAGAGCGTCGGCCTGTGGTCCTCAAAGACCCGGGTTCGGTTCCCGCTAAGGGCGCATACCTCGGTTGCAGTTTGTCCCCGGCCCTGGTTGGTTGTGCTGGTGGCAGCCACTCAATGTGTCCCTTTCACGTCGATATTTCTCTCTCTCTCCCTCCCACTCTATCTAAACAAAAAAATGAAAAAAAATGTCCTTGGGTGAGGATAAAAAAAAAAAAAAAATCAGTAAAAGTAAATAAATAAAGTATACAGTTCACTGTTTTACAGTATATTTACAGAGTTGTGTAACAATCACCATAATCAAACTTCGAACATTTCCATCACCCCAAAAAGAAACTGCCTACCCTTTAACAATGCTCTATGGCCTCATCTGCAGCCTCTGGCAACTGCTAACCCACTTTCTGTCTCTATAGATCTGTCTGTTCTGGACATTTCATATCAATGGAGTCATGCACTGTGTGGCTTCTTTCACTCAGCATGTTTTCAAAGGTCATCCACATCATAGCATGTAGCATGTATCAATGCACTTCAATTCTTTTTATTGCCAAATAATATTCCAGTGTAGATTCTCTTGTACCCATTGTATGTGTATCTCACATTTTGTTTATCTATTCATGACTTGATGGACAATTTCCCCCCACTTTTTGGCTATTATGAATAATGCTGCTATAAATATTCATGTACAAATTTTTTAGTAGACGTGTGTTCACTTCTCTTGGGTATACCTAGGGATGGAATTGCTGGCTCATACGGTAACTCTATGTTTAACTTTTGAGGAACTGCCACACTGTTTTCCAAAGTGCCTACATCATTTTTCATTTACACTGGCAGTGTATGAGGATTCCAGTTTCTCCACTCCCTCGTCAACACTTAGCATTGACTCTCTTTTTTATTATAGCCATCCTGATAGGTATGAAGTGGTATATCATTGTGGTTTTGATTTGCATTTCCCTAATGACTAATGATGTTGAGCATCTTTTTGTGTGCTGATTAGCCATTTGTAAGTCTTTATTAGAGAAATGTCTGTTCAATTCTTTACCCGATTCTTTACCCAAATTGGTTTGTCTTTTTGTTATTGGGTTCAAAGTGTTATTTAAAGAAATAGAAATTTGTTAAAATTTAATTAAATCTTATTTTTGTAGAAAAGTATTCATAATCTAGTATTCAATAGCTGTCCGGTTGCCAATGCAAAGAATCAGCATTGTGCTTCATCCTGTTCCACTGAGACAGACAAATACATACATTTCAGAGTGATATGAATTGTTAAATGTTCCCCAGTCACCTTGTGCAACTGCTGTGAATAACACACTGCTTCATGTGTACCTCTGGACCACGAGACAGACAGGCAGAGGGACAAGAAAAGGGATGTCTTTTGTTTGGCTTATCTAAGCACTCAACTCTCCGCACTGCAAAATTACCTGGTTTCTACCGACTGCCGCTTTTCTTGGAGGACGTAGGGTACAAGAAGGGGCCCAAGCATTTGGCCCGAGCTGTTGATCCTGAGAGCGGATTTCAGGGTCACCGGATGTGTCCCGCTAGCCCTGAGGGAGCGTCAGAGCCTATTCACTCCCTGTGTTTGGACTGCTGGTGTGCAGCTCAGAGTCCAGGCCTCCAGGGAACCCAGGTGTGGCTGGAGACGGTCTCCTGGGAAGTGCGGGGCAACATGCCTGGCCCGCAGACACCTGGGAAAATGGTGGGGCAAGGGCCAAGATAACACCCATCTCCGCTCAGGAGAAGCAAGTGTTGTAGCTCACTGTCCTTAGAATCCAACTTGTCTTTAAGCTGCCCTAATTAACAACCTCAGAGACAGCAAGACGAACAATGGGGAATGTTATAGAGGGCTTTAGCCCCATAAAAATTAACTAGAGTTTGACCTTCACTGGGAATTTGAAAAGCAACATCCTTCAAGAAAAGGGAGGACAGAAACGGCCCCAAGGCCAGAGTGTCCTGCATGCTCTGTAAAGAAACTGATAGGGAGAAACTGAAGCTCCCTTTACCCCATAAAACTGTAACTGTTCAACATGTGTGTATTGCACCTGACTTACCGCTGATATCTGTCTCGAATTTGTTAGTTTTTAAAACTTGGATAATGGAATGAATAGCAGGACAGATGTATGCTGACCCAGTTCACCCGGTTCCCTTTCGCCTCAGCTCCCTCCCCCCTCCGTTCCCTCCTGCTTATCGCTAACTGCCTCCGCTTCTGTACAAGCAGCTTGCGTGCTCTGCAAAACTCTTGAATGACCCCTGCCCTATATAAGCAACCCTCCCCCTGAGCTCGGGGCTACAGTTCTCCTCTGTGTAGGTTGGCTGCAGTCCCTGCGCAGGTAATAAAACATCCCCCAAAACTGAAAAATGGAGTCTGAGTGTGGTCGATCTCCTGGGTTACAACACAAGGAGGCGACGCCGCCAGGTGGAGGGCACGGCGCTGCACAGAAGCCGTGGGCCACGCCGGGCGTCCCAGGCTTGGGTCCACCCGAGTCGCCGAGGGTCCGCTGAGAGCGCTTAGACCCCGCCAGGTTCGGAGGAGCGGCCTCCAGGCGGGCAGCCTCCCGGCGGGCAGCGGCACGACCACGGGCAGGTGGCGCGGGATCCACGCGCCGACAGACCCCCGGTACAGCGGGGCTCGACGGGTCCGCGCTCAGACATCTCTGGGCCACTCCCTATCCTTCAGACTCAGCAGCAGTCGGCCCGGCGGGGTGTGACACCACCGACTTGCCTTCCGCCCCCAGATCCTCGTCCCCGCCCCTGACCTTTCCCCCTTCCCTCCGGCTCGTGGCCCCGCCCCGGGCTTCCCGACAGATCTCGCGATCTGTGCGCGGTCTCGCGATGCCGGCCTGTGGGCGGGGCGGACCCTGAATGGCTCCGCCGGGGGCGGCTCCGTGGGCCAGAGGCGGAGTGAGTCGTCCCCTGAGCGCCATGGCTTCTCTACGCGTCCTGCTGCTCCGGGCCCGCGGCCCGCTGCTCCCCCGGCCCGGCTGCGCGGCGCTGCGCCCCTTCGCCTCGGGTGAGTGCAAGAGGGGCTGCCGCCGCAGCGCCGAGCTCGCTGAGCCCTGGGCACGCGGTCGGGGCCACGTCCTGCGTGGAGCTGGCTGTGGAAGTCCGCTGGCTTTACCTGCCTTTAAGGGGGTGTGCGGGCAGCGCCGCTGGAACTGCAGTGCCCTGCCAGGCCGCGCCCCTCCCGCTCACTTGCAGCGTCGCCGCTTCCTTCACCCCTGTGCCCAGTTCACGATCCAAGTACCAAGTCGTGTCCGTTTTACCCTGAGTTCTCTTTGACCCTCCGCTTCTGCAGCCTGGCTGTCATGAGCAATCGTTTCCGGGTCTGGGACAGACACGCTGCCGCTGAACACTTTGCCTGTGTTATTCCAGGCATTCCCCAGCAAGCCCGCGGGCAGGTCCTGTGATCCCTGTGTTATGTATGGTTCAAGAGAGTAGCCATTCCAACATGCAGACACACGCCTTTGTCCCAGGTTAACCCTGTCCCTCTCCAGGTCATCGCTGGTCCCCAAATCTGAACGGACTGCCCTCCAGGCAGTGGAAGTCACGGGTGCCTGTGTGTGCCCCTCACCAGAGTCCACTCAGCAAGGCCAGACCTCTGTTCTGTTCACAACTTAATTCCCTCACCTCGTTGGCATTGGTTGAAAGAACGAATTCCTCCCTCCCTTGTTTCTCCAGAATCACAGATCTTGTGTGCTGATGAGGCCCCCAGAAGGAAAGGCTGCTGTGGGCTGTTGTTCATTGCTGGTTTTTTTTGTTTTGTTTTTAATCCTCACCTGAGGATATTTTTCTATTTATCTTATGGTAGAGTGGGAAGAAGGGAGGGGGAGAGAGAGAGAGAGAAACATTGACATGAGACAGACACATCGACTGGTTGCCTCCTGCAGGACCAGGGCCAGGGCCGAATAAGGTACATGAATGGAACCCGTGACTCATTGGTCCACGGGCAGATGCTCTAACCACTGTGCCAAAATGGCCAGGGCTGCTGTTTGTTTTTATCTTAAGTAAAGATTCAACCATCCGTGGAAGTGGAGACTCGTGCAAAGGCCACCCATGTGGCTGAGAACTAGTTGCATGCTGCAGCCACCAGGGACTGGTCGGGGGTTCCTCAAGTCTGTTGGGGTTATTGTGTCCTCTGATGGGGGTACATCCCCCGGTTTGATGCCTATATGAATAAAATCCTTTTTTTTTCTTCTTGCTGAAGGAGCTAACTTTGAGTACATCATCACAGAAAAGAAAGGGAAGAACCACAATGTGGGGTTGATCCAACTGAACCGCCCCAAAGCACTCAACGCACTCTGCAACGGCCTGATCATGGAGCTCAACCAGGCACTGGAGGCCTTTGAGAAGGACCCGGCTGTGGGGGCCATTGTCCTCACTGGCGGGGAGAAGGCGTTTGCAGGTGTGTGGGCAGCATGTTGGCAGGTCATCCAGGTGTACCAGGAGCATTCTGACCGGGATCATACCCATAACGTATGGTGTTGCAGACAGACTTACACCTTTGAGGTAGCATCAGAAAAGCTCAGACAACTTGGGGTTTATGTACGTGTAGAGTGAAAAGTGGCTGGGGAACTGCTCGGATGAGCTGCTTGGTGTGTTTAACACTCAAGTGTGTTCTGCCAGTAAAATAAGTTTAGTCAAAGTGATTCAGGTGTTGTGTGTTAAGAACTCAAGTGACTAATGAATAAGCTTAGCCTTCTCTGAGTTCACCTTGAGTCTGTTTCTTGTCCCATGGTCCCTCCGTATCACCTTTGTGAACACATTTATCACAGAGACTTGCTACGGCACAAGCCAGGTATCCCCAGTACCTGCTCACGGTGTACACTCAGTAGCTGCTTATTGGGGTCTCTGCACTCTGGTAACTGGGACCTCATTTCCACCAGCTGGAGCTGATATCAAGGAGATGCAGAACCAAAGATTCCAGGACTGTTACTCCACTCAGTTCTTGAGCCACTGGGACCGACTCGCCCAGGTCAAGAAGCCAGTCATAGCTGCTGTCAATGGTTATGCTGTGAGTATCAACCCGAGTCTCCCTCTCACTCAGAATTCCTTATGGGATCGTAATTGTGAGTGTGACATATAACTGGTTTTTATTTTGAAAAGGCCTAAGTTGCCCTGGCTCAGTGGTTAGAGCATTGGCCCGCGGTCCAGAGAAGCCCGGATTCGGTTCCCGCTAAGGGCACGTACCTCGGTTGCAGTTTGTCCCTGGCCCTGGTTGGCTCGTGCAGGTGGCAACCACTCGATGTGTCCCTTTCACATCAATGTTTCTCTCTCTCTCTCTCTCCCTCCCACTCTATCTGAACAAAAAATAGAAAAATGTCCTCGGGTGAGGATAAAAAAGGAAAAAAGAAAAGGCCTAAGTCTAGTTACCAGGCCAGTAGGCCTTTCCCACTTGATGCTAAAGGGAACTATAAGGCGAGGAGGTGTTTCAGCATCTGCTTTTGTCAGCAGACACTCCCCTCCCCCCAGGGCTTCATGATGACCTCTGTGACTCCCTGTAATGCTTCTCCCCTCTCCTGTGGTAAGGGCACACATGTTGGCATTTTGTACAGTTAATGATTTTCTGACCTGCACTGCACGTATAAACCAACCTCTTTAGCTGCTGTGTAAGCTCTGTGTCCTCTGGTCACTGGGGTCTCCTGCGGGCACGTAGACTGCTCACAGGTGCTGGGCTGGGCATAGCCTGAAGAGAAGTGATGAAAGCGTTTCAATTTGTGACTATTTTTTATTTTATTTTTATTTAGTTAGTTAATTCTCATCCAAAGATATTTTTTCATTGATTTTTAGACAGGGTTGAAGGGAGGGAGGGACACTCAGAGAGAAACATTGATGTGAAAGAGATACATTGATTGGATGCCTCCTACATGGCCCTGGGGGCCGGGGATCTAACCTGCAACCCAGGTATGTGCCCTTGACTAAGAATTGAACCCACGACCCTATTCTCCTCAGGCCAAGGCTCTAACCACTTAGCAACCAGCCAGGGCCAATTTGTGACTATTTAATAAAACTTCTTTAGAGTAAGCCAGGGTCATCAAGTCAAGTTTATTAGAACAACCATGCCCACTGGTTTGCTTACTCCCTTGGCTAGCTTTGAGCCCCCACAGCAGAGACCTTAAGACCCACAAAGCCGAAAGTGTTTGCGGTTTGGCTCTTTACAGAAAGAGTTGGGCAGCATCAGCCATTTGTAGAAAATTCACGGGAACAATGAACTTTGCACCACTGTGTTAATCTTTGCTATGCCCCAGACTGTTTCTTTCTTTCTTTTTTTTTTTAGAAAAATGACTTATTTATTTTTTTAAATATGTTTATTGATTTTAGAGAGAGGAAGGGAGAGGGAGAGAGAAACATCAGTCAGGTGCTTCCTGCATGCCCCCTATTGGGGATCGAGCTCACAACTCAGGCATGTGCCCCTGACCAGGAATTCGAACTGTCAGTTTTTTGGTGCAATGGATTACACTCAACCCACTGAGCCACACTGGCCAGGACTATGTTTCACTATAATAGAATTTTAAATAAGCAAATAGAGTGATTATATGACTGGGTTTCTCTGGTGACACCTGTTTTGCAGCTTGGTGGTGGCTGTGAACTTGCTATGATGTGTGACATCATTTATGCTGGAGAGAAAGCCCAGTTTGCACAGCCAGAAATCCTGCTAGGAACCATCCCAGGTAAAGAAGGGTGGTATTTTCGGCATAAGCTCTCTCTGTCACTCTCCAGAGTCTGCCCACCTCTTCAGGGCTTGAGAGCTTTTCTAGGAATAGATAGAAGCACGAGACTTGCACATGACAAGGGGCTTGAGGTTGTTGTGTGAGCACTGGATGGACGGCCGCCTGTCTGTGCCCATTGCTCACTCTGTTCCCTAGCACACACAGTGTAAGTGGTCACAACAGCACTCAGGTGGCCATGGGGGTCACGGAGCTGTGCCAGCTCCTTGGGTGAAGGCCAGGTTCCAGACACTATTAGGAAGGGCTGACCACACATTGACTTAGGGTCTTTGTAGGTTAGAAGCTCAGAACATGGTGACCGAGGGTCAGACCTGAGAACTTGTGCCCAGAGGTGATATATGCACATCTGCTCATGTTCCTGTGACCAGAGCAAGTTTATGGCCTCATCCAAGTTCAGCAGAGCAGGAAATCAGACTCCCCCCCCACGCAGAGGTCAATAGGAGCAAGGGGTAAACAGTGAAACCTCTGCCCCTGGGGTTTACGTGATCAGGATTCCAGGCTTATATCCCCACAAGGTCTCTGCTCAAAGCCTAGGGCATCTCCGAGTCAGCCAGGGTGGGCAGGAAAGCTTGTCCTGTTGGCTGAGGGCAAGGACACCCCCACATAAACTCCGCTGACCCATCCCAGTGCCTGAGGTCTGAGTCTGCTGCACTGTGGCTGTCTCCCTCGGGTGGTCCCCTTGACTCGCCTTGGTGCCCAGGGTTCTCTATGGGGCAGATGACTGGGCAGACTGCTCTCTTTCCAGCTGGTGGGAGGGTGCTTGGGCACATGGAAGGGAGTGTCGTGGGCTTGACACCCACAGAGCGCTGGGAGAGAAGGATACATTCAGAGTGTCCCAGGAGGCAGGAGGCCTGCTTTCCACCCGGACTCTGAGGGGAACAGGTCAGATCAGAGGCTGCCCCGCAGCTGGGTCTGAGGCCGGAAGCTGTGAGCTCTGCATCTGTGGGAGCCTGACTCCTGTATGCGAGGTGCTTATGCAGGGGACTGAGCATGGAATGGAGGCCCCCCGTGCAGGGTTTCTTGGGTCTCTTGCCTCCACAATGCTGCCTGCCTCGCCCCACCTGAGAGGCCTGTCTTTGGCTCCCCAGAACTTGCCAGCATTGTGTCTGTGCATCTTGGCTTATACTGGCCAGAGAGCCAGCTATGACCCACAGCCTTCTGCCCCTGCAGGTGCGGGGGGCACCCAGAGGCTGACCCGTGCTGTTGGAAAGTCTCTGGCCATGGAGATGGTCCTCACTGGTGACCGGATCTCAGCCCAGGATGCCAAGGCAGCAGGTATGGGCTGGGGTTGCCCCATGGAGCCCCCTCATGGGGAGTGAAGAGGGGAGGGTTGCCTCTAGCTGCTCCGATAGGTGATCAGCACAGTGCTTTCGGGGGTCCTGACAACCCAGGAGACTGCTGCCTTTATTGACATCCCATATGTAAAAAGAGTAGCTAAAACATACACACAGGCTACGGATAATGTTAAATCATGTCAGTTCCCAGACCTCAATGTAAGCAATGGGGATTCTTTGAGACCCGGCAGGCACACCCTGTCCTCACCACTTGGTCACATGAGTCCGTCAGAGTCAAGTGACAGCTGACAGCATCGCCCCACCTTGGGAATGGGGTGGAACCTTTCCTGTGTTGCTCTAGCCCCTTAACACCCTGAAAAACCTCTGCTCTCCAAGTGTCGTCGTCACTCAAAGAGAAATTAACCAGTGCCGTTTCCTCATGTTCACCTTTTCATGTTTTAGGTCTTGTAAGCAAAATTTTTCCTGTTGAGAAACTGCTCGAAGAAGCCATCCAGTGTGCAGAAAAAATTGCCAGCAATTCTAAAATCATAGCAGCGATGGCCAAAGAGTCAGTGAACGCAGGTAGGGCTGTGCCAGGGAGGAGGAGGGCCTCCAGCCTCGTGCGGCTTCAGGGGTTTGGCAATGGATTCGGCACCCGTCCTGGACAAACATTGTTAGGGTTCTCAGGATTTCTAATTTGGCTCTCCATAGAGTTTTAGTTTCTAGTTGCTCACTCACTAATGCTGTTGAAATATTCTGAGTACCTGTTGGTACTTGGACCACAGATATGTCAGACAGGGACAGGCGCTGGCTGTGCCAGGGGAAGGCCTGACGTGAAACAAGTTGGCTCCGGAGAAACTCAGTTCACCTCTGAAACCTGGGTGAAGAGACTGCTTCTCAGCTGGTCAGGGGCTGTGCAGTCAGCTAGCGGCTTGGCCCACGGGGCGCAGGCTCCCTGGACCCCGTGGGAGCCTGGACGGAGGCCAGGCGCTTGCTGTTTCTCCACTGCATTCTCCGCCTGTGAAGCAGCTTCGATTCAGAATTCCCAGAGTTTTCTTTTTTTACTCGTCACCCAAGGATATTTTTCCATTTCTCTCCAGAAGGAGTGGAAGGGAAGGGGGGGGGGGGGATGAGAAAGAGAGAAACATGGACTCGAGAGAGCACATCGACAGTTGCCTCCTGCACGACCCTGACCAGGACCAGGGACCAAACTGCAACCGAGGTACGTGCCCCTGGCTGGAATCAAACCCGAGACTCTGGTCCGAGGGCTGACGCTCTAACCGCTGTGCCAAACTGGCCAGGGCAAGAATTCCCAGAGTTTTAATGTGGCCGCTTAGTCTCAGCTTTGGGGAAAGATTGTCCATTTACTCGGTGTTGCCTGTTGAGAAGACGGGTGCGGGGGACAGATGTGTGTCCTCTGAGTCTGTGTTCATCTGCAGGAAAACGCCCCACCTCGGGGCTTCTGCCGGCTTTAGTTAGGTGAGCTGGTACTTATGAGGCATCAGGACAGGGACCGCATAGAGCAGGCACTTAGGAGGTGCTGCCATGGTCCAGGCGGGCGCTCTGGCTCTGCCCTCCCCGGAGGACGGGGTTCCATGTGCTGCCAGAGGAAGGCGGCCCAAGGCCACCGTGATTCTTATTGCTGGACTCTGTTCTGGCACAGTGTTCCCTTTTCTGCTTTTCATCTTTAATGATATATTTTTTAATACTTAAAAAACTTATTAAAATTTTTACTGATTTGAGAGAGAGAGAGAGAGAAACATGGATCTGTTGTCCTCCTTTATGCATTCATTGGTTGTTTTCGTTAGCAGGTGCCCTGATCAGGGTTGGAACCCTCAACCTTGGCGTATCTGTATGACGATCTAACCAACTGAGCTACCTGGCCAGTACTTTCAAAATAGTTTCATGGGCTGCCTCAGATCCTTTGTGATTAGACAGCGTTTGCATTCCACCTTCCATGCGGTTTCTCACCCCTTCTTCTGGGAGGGGGACTAAGCGGGGGGGTCAGGCCTTCGCAGTTTTAAATTATGGGCAAGTGCGTGGTGCTGTGGAAACTGTTTCCTGTCACCGCAGAAAAGTGCCCCCAGCTTCAGCATCTCACTTCATAACATAAGGCTTTTCTTTTTCAGCTTTTGAAATGACATTAACAGAGGGAAATAAGTTGGAAAAGAAAATCTTCTATTCAACCTTTGCTACCGTGAGTAAACAACATTCAAGTAAAGAATCACACATGTTCCAGCCATATAGGCTGCTGGAAACTTCCTGGTAGATTTTAGCCAACCCCATTCCCCTTTGGTCAGAGCTGCTGGCATCTGTAGCTGGGTCAGGGGCTCCATCAGTGAGTGGAAGTTCAGGACAGACGGAGCAGGGCCGTTTCCTGTCACAAGAGGTCTTCTGAGTTGGCCCTTAAATGCAGTCCATTACTCATCATTTCCTGTCACTCTAGTCACTTGGAACAGGGATTAGAGCAATGTTCCCTAGGATTTCTGCCAGGGACGTAAAGGAAATCATTCTTCTAACAGTCATTCATATTCATCTCTTTTATTATCAGAAGGTCGTTAGGTATTTTGTGAAAGAGAGATAAAAAATGGCTTTGGCTCTTGAGGAAGTGAAGGTTTGTGTATGTACTTGCATGTGCACATACATGTGTACACATAGGAAAGGATGCTGAGGTAGAGTCTAGATTCCTGCCTCATGACACCCAGAGTACTGCTGAATTCAGGTGACGAGTTGGTGAATGACCCAAATAGTGTGCATCTGAGTTTCTCTGTATCGAGATTCTCTGTAGATGAGAGTTTATTTAACACACACATTTGTGGTTCCTGAGTGAACATCACCTGGGGGAAGGTATGTAAAAATACTCGGTCTGCGAATCCGGACCATTCCTAGGTTTCCAGGTGGCCCTGCTGCTGCAGAGCCCTCCCTGTCCCCCCACGTGTGAATGTGGGGAGCCCTGTGCCTGACCCATTAGGACATGTGACGTCCAGCTCTACTTTATTCCCTTTCCCACCAGGAGTACTGGAAAGAAGGGATGACCGCCTTTAAGGAGAAGAGAAAGGCCAACTTCAAAGACCAGTAAGAGCTGCTGCCTCGGCCTTAAAACCTCCACTGAAAGAGGAAAAGTACAGTTATAGAATAAATAAACCCTCTCTTTTACTTACTTATTTTTAAAATTTTTTTTCTTTTTTTTTTTTTTCTTTTTCTTTTTTTTTTTATCCTCACCCGAGGATATTTTCCCATTTTTTTGTACAGATAGAGTGGGAGGGAGAGAGAGGAAGAGGGAGAGAGAGAGAAACATCGACGTGAAGGGACACATCGAGTGGCTGCCACCCGCACAACCAACCAGGGCCGGGGACAAACTGCAACCTAAGTACGTGCCCTTAGCTGGAACCGAACCCGGGTCTCTCCGGACCGCAGGCCGACGCTCTAACCGCTGAGCCAAACTGCCCAGGGCTAAAATTTTTTTCCATTATTGATGTTTAGAGAGAGGGGAAGGAAGAGGGAGAGAGAGATAGAAACATCAATGAGAGAGAACATTTGTTGGCCGCTTGCTGTATGCCCCCCGCTGGGGATCAGGCCCACAACCTGGGCATGTGCCCTGACCAGGAATCGAACCGGTGACCTCTCGGTGCCTGGGTCGATGCTCAACCACTGAGCTACACTGGCTGGGCTAAACCTTCTCTTTTAAAGGACAATGCAGGTTTCGTGCCCTTTCTCTTCGACCGTGTGGGGTCATGGGAATCGGTCTCTGGAGTGTGTTTGCTTTCTGACCCGAGCGTCGTCTTAATCAAAAATTCCACTCATGAGCCTTCAGTGTATTTAAGTTTTTACTTGATTTTGGAACAGAGATGTTTCAGTGCCCGACTGTCCCTTAGTATAGCACGTCACATTTAGGCAGAGCTTGTGCCTGCTTAGCATGTAGTTGAGAGCCGGTGAAAGTGACTCAGAGGGGAGGCTTGGCTGGTGGCGCTTTAAAGAGACCTGCTGTTCACTGAATGACAGGCTTCAAGTCACATTACCCTTCCCTTCTAATCCGCTCTAAAGTTGAATGTTCTATCAATTCCTTAAATCTTGGTTTTGTCATAAGTGACAACATTCACACAGAAGAGAAGTCCTTACAGTAAGAGATTTTTCTGTGCCTACACATGTCTACACACACACATGCCCACATGTGCACACATCCACACACACGCTCACATGCACACACATCACAAGTTTATAGCTCAGTTTTCTTATTACAGAAATGGGATTTCACGTTCACCCTTCTGCAAAGCTATCTTTCTACATCTGTGCACCCGCTTCTCTTGTTTGACTAGAATTTTTTTAATTGTAGTAAAATATATATAACATAGAACTGACCATTTTAAAATGTACATTTCAGCAGCATTACGTGTGTTCGCAGAGTCCTGCAGCCATCACCACCATCCACCTCCGAACTGTTTCATCATCGCAAACAACCTCTGTTCCCATTAGCTCCAGCTCCCTCTCTCCACCGCCCCCATAGCCCCGCCGCCAGCCCCTGGCACCCTCTATACTACTTCTTCCGTCTCTGTGAATTTAGTATAATGTTTTCCAGGTCTGTCAAGGACATAGCATGCAATAGTTTCTTTCCATTGCTGAACAATATTCCTATTAGTGTTCTTTTAAGTGGAATTCAGGTGACGAGTTGGTGAATGACCCAAATAGTGTGCATCTGAGTTTCTCTGTATCGAGATTCTCTGTAGATGAGAGTTTATTTAACACACACATTTGTGGTTCCTGAGTGAACATCACCTGGGGGAAGGTATGTAAAAATACTCTGTCTGCGAATCCGGACCATTCCTAGGTTTCCAGGTGGCCCTGCTGCTGCAGAGCCCTCCCTGTCCCCCCACGTGTGAATGTGGGGAGCCCTGCGCCTGACCCATTAGGACATGTGACGTCCAGCTCTGCTTTATTCCCTTTCCCACCAGGAGGACCGGAAAGAAGGGATGACCGCCTTTGTGGAGAAGAGAAAGGCCAACTTCAAAGACCAGTAAGAGCTGCTGCCTCGGCCTTAAAACCTCCACTGAAAGAGGAAAAGTACAGTTATAGAATAAATAAACCCTCTCTTTTACTTACTTATTTTTAAAATTTTTTTCTTTATTGATGTTTAGAGAGAGGGGAAGGAAGAGGGAGAGAGAGATAGAAACATCAATGAGAGAGAACATTTGTTGGCCGCTTGCTGTATGCCCCCCGCTGGGGATCAGGCCCACAACCTGGGCATGTGCCCTGACCAGGAATCGGACCGGTGACCTCTCGGTGCCTGGGTCGACGCTCAACCACTGAGCTACACTGGCTGGGCTAAACCTTCTCTTTTAAAGGACAATGCAGGTTTCGTGCCCTTTCTCTTCGACCGTGTGGGGTCATGGGAATCGGTCTCTGGAGTGTGTTTGCTTTCTGACCCGAGCGTCGTCTTAATCAAAAATTCCACTCATGAGCCTTCAGTGTATTTAAGTTTTTACTTGATTTTGGAACAGATGTTTCAGTGCCCGACTGTCCCTTAGTATAGCACGTCACATTTAGGCAGAGCTTGTGCCTGCTTAGCATGTAGTTGAGAGCCGGTGAAAGTGACTCAGAGGGGAGGCTTGGCTGGTGGCGCTTTAAAGAGACCTGCTGTTCACTGAATGACAGGCTTCAAGTCACATTACCCTTCCCTTCTAATCCGCTCTAAAGTTGAATGTTCTATCAATTCCTTAAACCTTGGTTTTGTCATAAGTGACAACATTCACACAGAAGAGAAGTCCGTACAGTAAGAGATTTTTCTGTGCCTACACATGTCTACACACACACATGCTCACATGTGCACACATCCACACACACGCTCACATGCACACACATCACAAGTTTATAGCTCAGTTTTCTTATTACAGAAATGGGATTTCACGTTCACCCTTCTGCAAAGCTATCTTTCTACATCTGTGCACCCGCTTCTCTTGTTTGACTAGAATTTTTTTAATTGTAGTAAAATATATATAACATAGAACTGACCATTTTAAAATGTACATTTCAGCAGCATTACGTGTGTTCGCAGAGTCCTGCAGCCATCACCACCATCCACCTCCGAACTGTTTCATCATCGCAAACAACCTCTGTTCCCATTAGCTCCAGCTCCCTCTCTCCACCGCCCCCATAGCCCCGCCGCCAGCCCCTGGCACCCTCTACACTACTTCTTCCGTCTCTGTGAATTTAGTATAATGTTTTCCAGGTCTGTCAAGGACATAGCATGCAATAGTTTCTTTCCATTGCTGAACAATATTCCTATTAGCGTTCTTTTAAATGGCCCTAACATGTTTTATGATACTGGTATGTTGTAATTTGTGTTTTCCCGGGTGCTGAGTATTTAGACTGCATCCAGTTTCTTGCTGTTGGAACTACCATGGATAACACTGCAGTGAGACCTTGCACCTGAGTGGAGTGTGTGTGGGGTTGTGAGGAGTGAGCCTGCAGGTTGCAGGGCTGCACTCGTGGGAACTCAGGCTGTAGGTCAGCAGGGCCTCTTCTCAGTGCTGGGCTGGCTGCGTCTCCAAGACCGATGCCAGGACTGCTTGTGTCTGGACTCCATTCCCAGGCCCGGATCAGAGCTGATGCAAACGTAGTGTAGGAGGTGCCCAACAGGAATGTGCATGGTGGCATCACGCTTAGTGCCATTTGCTGTGGGAGTCAGAGTTTATGTACCAAGGTCCCTCTGGTGGCTTCAGACTCAGAGAGGGCCAATTGCATCCCCTGGATCGCTCTGCAGTGTCAGACACCTCACAGGGCACTGGGTGACTGAGTGCCCTCACTAGACATCTACCGCTTAATTATTACATCACAGCCCAGCTCAGAACTCTGGACCCTCCGTCTCAAACCAGGCTCTCAAGTAAATGTCCAGTGGGAGAGTCACAAGTCCTGGGGCATGGGACGAAGACCTGTGTTCTCTTACCAGCTGGGAGGGCTTCATGGATGAAGGGGCAGTTACTGCCCCAGGTCGGAGCACCTAAGCCTCAGACCCTCCAAGGTAAGGCATCCTGGGGACCCTGCTGGTTTTTCATGCTTGCACATTCAGCAAAACAACTTAACAGATGGGCCCAGGCGAGGTGGGTGAGGCCTGCTGGCCCCCGGGCCTACCCCATCAATCTTGCTCTGTGGAGATGGCCCCACCTGTTGGCAACAGTGGGTGCCACTTAAAAACCCAGGGCAGAGCTCTGCCAAAGCAAAAACCTGCAGCCATCAGGTTCTTGTGAGACATGCACTTGTCCGCGGAGCTGGGCCTCAGACCTCCCCTCCCTGGGAGCCCACTGTCCTTCCAGCTCAGTGAAGTCCCAAGAGCGCCTGTTACAGGTGTTTCCTCCACCTTTCCTGCAGCTGGGTGCAGGCAGGTAGTGCAATGAGTGGAACATGGCGGAGGTCACTTTTTTTTTTAACTTCACCTGAGGATACTTTTCTTCCCATTTTTATCTTCAGGTAGAGTAGGAGAGAAAGAGAGAGAAAAGAACATCAATGGGAGAGAGACACATCGATTGCTTGCCTCCCATGTGACCCTGACCAGGGCCAGGGGCGAACTACAACTGAGGTACATACCCTTGGCCAGAATTGAACCCGTGACTCTTTGGTCTGCAGCTGACGTTCTACCGCTGAGCCAAACTGGCCAGGGTGGCTGAGGTCACTTTTATGTGTGCGTCATGGCCTTAGGCTGGGAGCACCTGAACTGAAACCAAGGAAAACCCACCTGCATTTGAGAGCATTGAAATGGCCTTTTCAAAGCTTCAGCTATCTGAACACCTTAGGTCACAATGCCCTTGGGTTTTGGTTATGTTTATGTAGCAAAGTGGGGCACAGGCCAAAACAAGTTTAACACACTGCAGACCGTCTGCCTCACAGGCATTCATTCTGCAGTTTCTGCCAGGGCCAGTCTGTTCTGTGCTGTGAGCTGAAATCCAGATCAGGCTTCAGAAGGGAGCAGTGTGCGAAGGGGATGGCGGTGCCTGTGCGTGATCAGCCCTGCTCCCCAGTGCTGAGAGCAGAGACGTTCTTTTCAGAGACGCCTCCGGATCTTTACTCTTTGACACGTGCTTATTACAGAAGTAGGTACAAGAGGACTGCCCAGATTGGGCCATCCTGCCGGGCAGGGAGCCTGGAGGCTGGGCGTTCTGCGTGGCAGTAGATGTGGAAGTACTGAAGCTGAACGTGTGACTGGGGTCTGCTGCATGGCGTGCCACCTACCCAAGATCCGAATAGACAAGCAGAGCATCCAGGGAGAAGCCTGAAAATTCAGAAAACCATTTGTTCATTGCTTTACTTTTCACCCGCATTGGGCAGTGGCCTCCACACTTTGATTGCGAGCAGTGGGCCCCCAGAGTTGAGTGGGGCCGGCACTGAGGATCCTGTTGAGGTTTCACACCCTTGTTTTAGCTGTGCTAGTCAGAAGCCAAGAATGGTTCACACTGAGCCCCGCACAAAATCTCCAAAGTCTGTGACCACAGGGTTTTTGGGGTTCTAGAACTCGTGGGGGACAGAAGTCCATCCCCCTGGGCCTGGTGAAATGGGACCTTCTCTCAGGCTCCATTCTGGCCCCAGGCTTGGGGGAGTTTGGGGACCTCAAGCTCTCAGGAGACTAGTGTGTGGCCACATGCTCTGCTGTGACTGACAGGGCCACAAACCCCAGGGTGAGCTTCCACTCTCGCGGGTTCATGGACTTCTGGCCCCATATTGTTTTAGGGGTTGGATTTGTTTTTGAAGCTGAAACTTTTCCTTCTCATCTATATAAAATTGGCTTTCCCCTCATATATTTCTACCAAAAAGATAAAGCTTTGGAGAACGTTAATTGTAAGTATCTCCCCTTACATCTTGGAGTAGAAACCCTCACCCTCACCTGGGTGGAGCTCGCCACTTGGGGTGGCTTGGGTGCTGGCCCTGCTGACCGGTGCCCCCACCTTGCAGCTCCCTGCTCCACTCTGCCCAGCATGGCCAGGCCAGGGCTGTGTGTTCAGGGCACTGCTGGACGCCAGGCTGAGTTTCTGACCTGGCTCCTTCAACCAGCCGAGGGCCAAGCTATAAAACGTGGGGCACCTTTGTTTTTGTCAGGTTTTTCTCCGTAGCTTTGTTGTCTTTCATGTGCAGAACTTTTCCAGGAGCCACCAGGCCTCTGAGCATTTTGTGTCACCACAGTGCTGAGGGCTGTGGCCTGGTGTCCATTTGGGAACAAAGTGGATGATGCTGGGCTCTGATGGGAGACAGCCTGGCCTGGGCTGGCCTGTCTGGGCTCTGGGTTGGGCCGTCTCCTGCTAGGCAGGCAGCAGTAAGTACTCGGAGCTGGGTGGGTGACAGGGCAGCCCTGTCAGGAGCCAGAGCTCAGAGGGCCCGCTGGGGCTAAGCAAGAGCCCATCTGCAGGCTGGGCAATGAGTTTGGTGGTGGGTTCGTGAGGGTATGACCAGGCCAGTGCACTCACAGGCACCTGGGCTGGAGGCCAAGGGCAGTGTTGACAGGGCACAGGAGTCCCCTACATTAGTCAGCTGTTGCTGCCTAACAAATGATCCCTGAATTTAGGGGCTTAACCCTAAATCAGTTATTCTTTCTGACAGCCTATGTGGGTCAGGAATCCAGACAGGCACAGTGGCTCCCAGTCGGTGGGTGGTGCTGGAGAGAGCCCTATCCGCCTGCTCCCAGCACACAGCCCCTCGCCCTTCTGCCAGCCCTTCCAGTCCCCTCCAAGGTAGGCCCTGGAAGTAAGCCCGCTACCTGGTCTCCCCAACCCAGGACACCAGGAGGCATGGGGAGCCCTGACCAGAAACACGCACGGGTGTACTGGTCTTGAACCTGGAGAGGGTCACGAGGCCTTCTTGAAAGGTGCCTTCAAAGTGCCTTCAGGGGCTGCACCGGATGTTGCCCTACCTTCCCCACTACACACCCTAGCTTAACAGCCCCCCTTCCCGCTCTGGAGGCCCCGCCCCCTCAGGCCCCGCCCCTTCCGCGTGCGATCATGGTGGTGCTGAAGGGCGTCCCCGCGCTCCTGTCCCCGGAGCTGCTTTTCGCCCTGGCGCGGATGGGACACGGAGACTCCATCGGTGAGTGGACAGGGGACAGAGCCTCGGGATCGGAGCGCCCCTGCTCCGGGCACAAGTCGGGGGAGGAGCCTTGGGGTGGGGGTAGGAACTCTCCGCAGGAGTCCTGGACCATACTGTCCCCATGCCCCGAAGAGTTGGATCCTAAGGTGGGGGCATTGCTTTGGCTGCCCTGTCCCTCCTCAGGGTAGGATCCCACCCCTCCCATGAGGCTCCAGCGGGCCCAGGCTCCAGCCCAGGCTTTGGTGGGCCCCAGGCGATCACTGGGACAGGTGGCCCTTGGCCGGGGCAGGGCTATGTCAGGGCAGGGCAGGTCCCTCCCACAGCCCAAGTATAAAGAAGCGGGGAGGTGCCTGACGGCCATCGTCCCCTCTCCAGCCTCAGGCCCTGTGTGCTGCTCATACTCCAGGCCCCTGCCCAGGTGGTCATATCCGCGCGCGTGCGTGTGTGCGTGTGTGGCTGTTTCTCTTTTCCTGGGGTGGTGGGTGGGATTCAGGGTGGAGGCTGTGGGTCCAAGCTCTGCCCTCATCCTGGTAACACCTGCAGTTTCTCCTACACCTGGTAACTCCCTCTCCTGCCTGGCCTTGGATTTCCCACCCCTCCCCACTCCCTGCTGGGTGGGGGTGGGGAGGCAGTGGGCATGGTCTAAAGTGTGCCATCAGTTACCCCACTGCCTTCGTCCACCCATTCAACCGACCTTCTGGGATGCCTAACCCAGCTGGCTGTTCAGTTCTTGCAGACGTGAACTTCCCCACCTCCTCCATCTGCAAGTGTGGCCCAGAGGAGATCCGTGCTGATGGTGAGCATGCCACCCTCTGCAGGGTGGGTTGGGGAGGGTGAGCAGTGGTCCTGGCTCCAGCTCTCCAGGCGTTACAGCTCGGCCCCTACATCCAGCCATTCCCCGGGCACCCATCAGTAACCCATGTGCCAGGACCCTCAAGATACTCTCTGCAGCCCCCAGCAGTGACCTATTTCAGACACCACTTGGTGACTTGAAAATGGGAAAATGGAGGCTAGGCACCTTGTTGGCTGACTGAGCAGTGATCCCCCTCCACCTCCAGATCAGGTCAGGTGTTCAGCCTTTAACCTGATGTAAAAATCCCAATATTGCCCTGGCTGGTTTGGCTCAGCGGTTATAGCATCGGCCTATGGTCCAGAGAGACCCAGGTTCGGTTCCTGCTAGGGGCACGTACCTCGGTTGCAGTTTGTCCCTGGCCCTGGTTGGGTTGTGCAGGTGGCAGCCACTCAATGTGCCCCTTTCACATTGATGTTTCTCTCTCCCTTCCTCCCACTCTATCTGAACAAAATATCGAAAAATGTCGGGTGAGGATAAAAAATAAAGATAAAATTAAATTTAAAAATCCCAATACTGGTGACCTCACAGGCTCCAGGTGTCCACATGCTCAAAGACTCTCTGGCCCTCACAGGTGGATAGGAGGTGAGGCTGGGAGGGACCTGGCTCAAGGTTATGGTAGGAGCAAAGTCAGCAGTACTGAGAGTAAGGGGGCCATGAGGTGAGGACCCCATCCTGATCCAGTGGCCTTGGCTACCACTCCCCACTCAGGGAGCTAACCAGCCATGCCTGGGCCAGGTGACCCCAAGGAGGGTGGGGCAAGGTGGGCCGTGGGAAAAGCCTGAATGCTGGGATACAAGGAGTGTTCAAGTAAACCACAAGTCACACACACTGCTCATTAGTGGAGGCAGGCAATTAGGATTCAGAGTCAAACAGGCAGAAAAGTCTAATCATGTAGATTTGCAGGAAAAAGGGCAGAAGAAAATGCACTTCGATGGTACACAGAGTTTTCTTTAGTGGGAAAATTACAGCCAGTTCTTTCCATCGGCTCCTGTATTTCCCAGTTTTATCAAGTGTGTGTTGCTTCAGTAATCAGAAGCCCACCTCATGGGAAAGCTCGGGCCTCGGGGCCAAGTGGGACAAGTTTGGGGGCCTGGGGCAAGAGAGTCCTCTTCCCAAACCCCACTGTCCTTGTCACGGGCTAACGGTGGCAACTCTGGGACTCTGGGGTCAAGGAGATAGCCGGGCACCCCTCCTGGTAGACAGGTGTTTGAGGTTACCACCAACAACCTGCATGGTACAGAGTGAAAGGGATGGTCAGGGCTGGACCAGTGCCAGGGGAGGTAGCCAGGGCGAGTAGACACCAGTGTGACTTTGATGAGTGTCACCAGATGGGCAGCAATTGCCTGTGGCCCCGCTGTCCTGGACCCAAGCCTGTCCTTGCTGGTTTAGTGAGGCCCAGTGTGAAAGGAGTGGCCAGGCCCGGCTGCTGGATGGTGCTGCGGGCAGCTGGGCAGGAGGCTGGAGTCTGAGCGAGCACTCTACCCTCAGGCCTGGGCATCCCACAGCTCCTGGAGGCCGTGCTGAAGTTGCTGCCACTGGACACCTATGTGGAGAGCCCGGTGAGGGCCCCTTTTCCAGACCTCAGAGGGCCCACCTGCCTTGGTTGGGGGGCATGTGTCCCCAGAGTGTTCTTACCCAATCAGAAGAACCCTAACCGTCACCCAACAAGGGGGGGCTGGAGACACCCAGGGAAGCTGGGTGGGTGGGCCACAGAGCTAACCCCTCTGTTCCAGGTTGCTGTCATGGAGTTGGTGTCCAGCGACAGGGAGAGGGGCCTCCAGACCCCGGTGTGGAGGAACTACCAGTCCATTCTCTTAGAGGCTGGCTGCTTGGTGAGCCTGCTGCCCCCACTGGGAACAGGGTTGAGACGCTCTGCACCTCCTTGGAGGCCTGGGATGAAGGAAAGATAGGCCCCAAACTCTGCCCCACAGTTGTGTGAGCGCCTATTCAGTGAAAAAGTGACCCTGCCCCCAGCCTCCTAACTCTTCCCAGGATCCTGGCCTATCTGCCTGGGGCCCTCACCCAGACCCCCACCCATCTTGTGGTCAGAGGCCTGGCCTGATTCTGTGTGTCACCCTCCACCCCATCCCACCCGGCAAGGGGTCCAGCCTGTCCTCCCAGGACCACCTGCACAGACAGGTCTTGGGCAGGACCTACCTGAAGAGAGGACACCTGGGGCTCCCATCCTGGACAGTGGCTCCATCTCAGGGGCCCCAGGCAGGTGGCCACCAAGCATAGCCTGCCCCCTGCCCCCCGCCCCCCACCCCAGTCCCTGGTCCTTGCAGGTAGGAGGCCAAGAATCCTGGGGACCCTGGCCTGAAGAACCATAGAAATGAAGCTCAGAGAGGTCATGCCTCCGGGCCCAGAAGGTTTCTGGGCAGGGTCCCTTAACCACACTGGTTTGCCTTCCAGAGCCCCCTAGCGAAGATAGAGAGGTTTGAGTTTTATCAGCAGGCCAAGAAGGCTTTTGCTGTTGTAGCAACTGGGTGAGTTCTGGCTGGATCCACTGGGTCCTGATGGGTTGACTGGGTCATTCCTCACTCCAGAGCCCCCCCCCCACCTTCTGCTCAGCCCCTGCCCCACTGAGACAGATGGGAATTGGGGAGTTGAGCTGTCCAGCAGGTGGTATGGAGCAGGGGTCTGAGCACCCTGGCCCAGCATGGTGCTCAGCTCAGCTCCTTGTGCAGGGAGACGGCCCTCTACGGAAACCTCATCCTCAAGAAGGGGGTCCTGGCCCCCGAAGCCCTGTCCTAGGCTGGTGAAAAATCAGGACCCCTGAGACCGACACCACCAGCAGGCCCTTCCCTGCCTGGCAACACCCAGACCTCACCCAGCCAGGGTTCTGGAACTGGCAGGTTCTTGGGGGACTGCTGACAGGCTGGGATTCTCTCGATCTGAAAAGTGTAATGACATCGCCCTGGCCGGTTTGGCTCAGCGGTTAGAGCATCGGCCTGCGGTCCAGAGAGACCCGGGTTCGGTTCCCGCTAAGGGCATGTATCTTGGTTGCAGTTTATCCCCGGCCCTGGTTGGTCATGCGGGTGGCAGCCACTCAATATGTACCTTTCACATCGATGTTTCTCTCTCTCTCTCTCTTCCTCTCTCTCCCTCCCACTCTATCTGAACAAAAAATGAAAAAAATGTCCTTGGGTGAGGATTAAAAAAAAAAGTGTAATGACATCAACGTTCAGTCTCAGTTTTAAACAGCGCCATTCTCACAAAGGCTTGTTTGTGCCAAGTGCAGGGAGGCTGCTGGCTCCCCAGAGGGCAGCCCCCACCTGCCCGAGATGGAGCCTCAGGTTGTAAGTAAGGCCTCCACCTCCCAGTAGGTTTTGGCCTCCTGGGTTTGAGACAAGAGCTCACAGTAGACACCCTCATGCTGGCTGCAACCCGAGGATCTAGAGACCTGGGCACCTGAGCAGGGGCCCTGGGTTGGGGGCTGTGGTGACTCAGCACATTGCAGGAGGCCTGGAGGGGTTGCAGTGGCTGCCCAGGTGGCCCTGAGTGGGGTGGGGGCTTCTACATTAGTCTTTCAAGATACAGACACTGAGGTGGTCCTTAGAAGGACACCAAGGCCCTTCCTTCAGCCCCAAAGGCGGGAGAGTAGGTGGTAGAGTCTGGTTTGGAGGCTCTGGGGGGTGATCACATGTCAGGGTGCTGGCGGGATGGGGGTGGGGTGGCCCCAATTAGAGGGCTTGAGCTGCCTGGGGTGCCAGCTGGGCCCCATGGCCATGTTCCCTCAGCCCAGTCAGCGGTTGAGTGCCTACTGAATACAAAGGAGCCTGAGCTGTCCTGGGAAATGAGGGTGGGGGTGAGGCAAAGGATGGGAGGATGAGGGCTGCCCAGGCAGAGGGCTGGCCTGAAGATGGTGCCTGTGAGGTTGTAACCGGTGAGATGCTCAGACTGGGTCTCGGTGGAAGAAATTCCCACCAGCCACTGTCCTGGACTCCAGGGTCTCTCTCTGAGATCCCTCTTCCTCTAGGTCTTCCTACAGCCATGTGAATGTGGAAGTTGGGATGACTGTGGGCTCCCAGGTCTCTGTCCATCAGGGCCTGGAGGAGGCTCCCATGTAGGGGCCGGTGTCCTGACCTCTCCGAGAGCCTGGGGGACTGGCAAACCCATTGAATGGAGATCTGGGGCTCAGCCTGGGGAAGGGACCCTGTTCTGGGCCCATCACTGCCAGGACTTAACTTCAGACCCCATGGCCACTGCTAGCCACACAAGGGCCTTTAAACAGCTTTATTGGGGTTGAATTGACACATGATAAACTACACATTTCAAGTGTACAATTAAATATATTTGGTGCCTGGCCGGTGTGGTTCAGTGGTTGAGCATCGACCCATGCTCCAAGAGGTCGTTGGTTCGATTCCAGGTCAGGGCACATGCCCAAGTTGTGGGCCAAGTCGCTAGGTGGGGCATGCAGTGGGCGGCCAGTTGATGTTCTCTGTCATTGATGTTTCTCTCTCACGCTCCCTCTCCCTTCTCTAAAATCAATAAAGGAAAAATATATATTTATATTTGGACATCTCCCTGGCTGGTGTGGCTTGGTTGGGCATTGTCCCATGCACCGAAAGGTTCCTGGGGTTGCAGGTTTGATCCCTGCTGGGGGCGTGTGCAGGAAGCAGCTGATTGATGTTTCACTCTCACATTGATGTTTCTTTCTAAAAAAATCAATAAAAAATCTTTTTAAAAAATATGTATATATTTGGATATCATCTACACTTAAGAGAGCCATGCAACACCTCTGTTACCCTGCATCTCCTGTCCCCCTACTTGGTCTGCTTTCTGTCAGAACAGGCCAGTTTGCATGATCTGGAATGTCACACGAGTGGGACAGTATGTGTTCTGTTGGCTGGCTTCTTGCACTCAGTGCTTGTTGTGGGATTGTGCATGTCGTGTGTATTGATAACATGCTTCTGCTGCTCATCAGTGGGTTTCCCATAATGTGGACGCGTGAGCTGGGTTGTGTCTGGTATGTGGCTGTTACAGATATGCTTGCTGTGACCATGCACACCCCAGTCTGGACAGAGGGCTGGGTCACAGAAGGTGGGTGTGTAACTTTTTAGGAAGCTCCCAAATTGTTTTTCCAATGTCGCTGTCCTAGTTGACATCACCACCACAGGGAGTGAAAGTTCTTGACCCCTCCTCGTCCTGACAGCTCTGGGTGCTCATCTGTCTTTTCTGTCAGCTGCGCTGGTGCATGGGCAGGTGCTGGTGTCCCCTCCAGTTTTTATTGGCGTTACCTGCTGATTATTGATGTTGAGCATCTTCTCATGGGCTTATTTGCCTTCCATCTGTTTTCTTTGGTGTCATGAATACTCAGTCTCCTGCCCATTTTGTATTGGCACCAGGACCTTTAATGAATCTGGTCACCAATAATAATGTATGTGTGTGGGGTGTCCCACACCACAAGCAATTCTGGTACACCAGCTGGGCTACCCTTCAACTCAACTGACCATCTACCTCAGGGGTGTGGAACCTTTTTTTTCTGTCAAGGGCCATTTGGATATTTATAACATTCTCAAACCATACAAAATTATCAACTTAAAAATTAGCCTTCTATATTTGGTCAGGCTAATTTGGTGAGACGTGATGTTCACTGGAATTGCTTTCACCAGCCTTATATGGCCTGGGGGCCAGACATTCCCCACCCTGATCTACCTGAAGATGGCGTTAGACCCCACAGGTTCAGGGCTCAGTCCCACAAGACTGTCCCCCAGCCCTACCTTCAGACTCCAGCCACAAGTCTAGGTTGGAGGGTCCTGTGACCGCCTCCTCAGAGTGGTTGCCAGAGTGGTTCAGAGAACTCAGAAACATTTTATTTACTAGATCACCAGTTTACCATAAAAGGATATAACCAGAAACAGCCAGATGGAAGAGATGCATAGGCAAGGTCTGGGGAAATGTCATAGAGCCTCCATGTCATCTCTGGGAGTACAACTCCCCCCAAATCTCCATGTGTTCACCAATCTGGAAGCTCTTCGAACCCTGTCCTTTTGGGTTTTTATAGAGGCTTCATTATATGGGCATGATTGAATTCTTAGCCATGGTGATTGATTGCACCTCCAGCCCCTCTCCCCTCCCCTGAGGTAGGGGGTGGGACTAGCAAACTTATACAGATGACTATAATTTAAAAATAAATAAAAAAGACAGTAACAAGTGCTGATGAGAGGGTGGAGAAACTGGAGCCTCATACCTTGTTGGTGGGAATGTACCGTGGTGCAGCCAGTTTGGAAGAAAGTTTAGCATTTTCTAGCAACTCCACTCCTAGGTACCTACCCGAGAGAACCGAAAGGCTGTGTCCACACAAGGACTGCAAGAAAGTCCACAGCAACACTAACAGACAAAACCAACAGCCCGGCTGGAGTGGCTCAGCGCATTGAGTGTGGTCCATTGACTAAGATATCCCGGTTTGATTCCCCCTCAGGGCACATGCCCAGGTTGCAGGCTGGCTCCCCAGTGGGGAGGCGTGCAGGAGGCGGCCCATCAATGGTTCTCTCTCACATGGATATTTCTATTTTTCCCTTCCTCTCTAAAACATCATTAAAAACATTAAAAAGAAAAATCTGACAGTCCAGAGGCCTGTGTGGATGGATGGATAAATGGGGCACATCCCAAAGGGACGCTATTCAACAGCAAAAGGGGTGGAGCACTGATAGAGCTGCTGCCACTGCTGGCTTCCAGATGTGAGCTGGGCTGAGTCCTTGGGGGGCGGGGGTCAGGTCTGCCTTGAGGCTCACCAAACACCTGCTGAGCGCCTTCTTGCGCACACAAGGCTGGCGCTGGGGCACAACAGTGACCAAGAATGACTGGCTTGCGCAAGGAAAGCTAACAGCCAGGAGCTTTAGACCTGAAACATAAGAAGGAGGCCCTCCTCCGAGTGGGCGAGGGCCAAACCCAGCTGTGCTTCAACCCAGTTGACCAAAGGGGGAAGGAGGGAAAGTCTGAGAGCCCGGATATGCCCAGGCACAGGAGTAGTCAGGGGTCAGCTGGCCAGGGTACCTGTCCCCTGCAGTGAGGTGTGTGTGTGAGTCTGAGGGGATGTGAGGCTGTAAGGCCCTAGTGCAGCTCCGGTTGGGGGCTGGCGCCGGGCTCCCCTCCCCCAGCCTGCGTCTCCTCGGCAACAGCAGCCTCGGTCTGGGGCTCGGCCCCTCCCCCGCCCCACCCCGGCTGCGGCTGCGAAGCGTCTGGAACCGCATCCTCGTCCGGAGACCGCATCCTGCCGCAGCAGCCCGTTGGAGCCGCCTGTGAGCCATTTCCACATTTATCCCTGTGGAGCCGGGGGGGGGGGGGGGGGCGAGAGTGTGCAGGTGCGTGTGCAAGGGGAGTGTAGGGGGGGGTCACTGCGGTGGACCCGATGGCGGGCAGGCCGAGACCTTGGGGTCTCTGCTGACCCGAGTAGGGCTGCTGTCCCCAGGCCTCCCGGACGTCCGCTACCCCTCTGCGGGGCGAACTGCTGCCTGGACCTTCCAGAAGGGCCGAGGTGTCCGGCCTTGCACACATCCCCCGTCCTCAGTAGAGTGGGGGAGCTGGGTGGGATTAGGGCTGCTGGACATCACCCTTCCCCATGGTGACTGCAGCCCCCTCCCCGTGAGCCGACTCCACCCCTGCAGGTCTGAGAGAGCCTGCGAGAGCTGGGCATCCTGAGATGAGGAGGAGGTGCCCATTCCAGGACCCCCCTCTGCCTGTGTGTCGGGGAGTAGGGTGAGGGTAGAAGGGGTTGGCAGGAAGGGCATCGCACCACCGCAGTGAAAAACGTTCCAGGCATCCGGAGGTGGGGTGGGGAAGGCTGAGTGGCAGGTTGGAAGCCTGGAGCCGGGAGAGGGGCATTTCTCAGAACCACCTGCCGCACGCAGGCTCCGGATGCCGGGCCACAGGTGACTGGTACGTGAGAAGCTGAAGCTGGCTGCAGCCCCGGGCCTTCCCACCCGCCCCGCTGTCCTGGGCCTCTCCTGGTTGGGCTGCTAGCCCGCAGTCAACCTGCCCTTGAAGCAGGAGCCAAACCCTGCAGGGGGAGGGGCAGGAGGGTACCTGAGGGAAAGGGGGCTGGGGGAGGGGGGTATCTGCTGGGTTTCAGCAAAGACTGCAGGCCCCTTGCGCTCCGCAGTTGTACGTTCGACACGTGCCAGTGCGCACTGGCGCGCACCTCGCCTGACGCAGCATCCCGGGGGGGGGGGGGGGGGTGCGAAAGCGAATCTGTGACGTGCCCTGCATCCGAGCTTCGTGAGCTATCAACTAAGGGTCCGTGTCCCCCCCTCCCCAATCCATCCATCCATCAGTACAGGATTGCCGCTCATTCTGTACCCCCTCCCCAAGCCTCGGTGAAGAGGCCTGCACCGCCTGCCGCCCGGGGAGCCAACTGCGGGTGGGGAGCAGGTGACCCGCTGGAGAAGACACAAGTACAACGCAGGGTGGGGGGCGAGTGGCGGGCGGGAGGAGTAGGGACGACCTCCTCCCCCGTTTCATGGAGTTCTGTGTCTGTCATGTGAATGAGCTCAGCCTTCCCACTGGGTCGCGTGACAGCGGAGGAGAAGCATGTTGGCGGGAGGGGGGAGGGGGGACGGGGCAGGGAAAGATCCTTCATGCAGCCCAGCCTCCCCCCCAGCATTCCAACCCGGGCACGAGGGTCTGGAACTAGACGCGGAAGGTCCAGAGGACCCCAAATAACTACTTTTCTGCACGAAGACGAGGCTTCTTAGGTTCACCTCCATTGCCATAGAAACCCGCGACGATGTAACGTGGACGTCATGCTGCGTGGAGGAGTTGGACCTTACTTTCGGCTCAAAAGGGACCGACCTCAGAAGCCGAGCTCCTTATGGGGATGGGGCGGGCGGAGACTGTCTTCCAGCGGGCATGGCCACCAGTCTGAGACTGACCGCGCTCAATTCTGTAAACCACAGGCCGGGTTTTGGGGCCGGCCCGTGAAGGCGTCCAGTCTCCTCCTGGGTAGCGCACCTCTCCCTCCCCCCTCCCTCCCCTCAAGCCCTGGGCACTTGCTGCCCCCACCTCCCCCGGCCCCTTCCTCTGCAGTCTCCCGTCGGTCCCTTCTCGACAGGAGCTCTATTTTCTTCCTCGAACTGGACGCCTTTATATTTATATTCTGATGGCTCGGTGACCACCTCTGCCTCGCCGAGCGCAGATGTCGTCTGCATCGTCAGCGTGAAGAATGCCCGCCCGCCTGGGCCCGGAGCCGAGGTGCCCGCGCGCCCTTATAGGCTAAGCGCCGGCCAGGCCCCGCCTCCCCTCGGGAAGAGCCCCGCCCCTAGCCTGGGGGTGGGAGTGGCGGGCTCTATGTAGATCCGTCGGGTCATGGAGCCAGGCAAACACATCAAGGATGAGACCTAGGAGGACCCTCCTCCCCAGAGGGCCGGTAGTCCACGATGGGGGCGGCTCCTCTCTCTACCCAGCCGGCGCTTCCAGTCCGTGTTGCAGTGGCCATTCCTGACTGCCCGCGCCCCACCCAACCCCTACACATGCCCCGCACAGCCCTAGACTCCCTGCCCTGCGCCAGCCACACTCTGCCCTGCCTCTATCTGCCACTCTGCCTGGGCAGGTCTCCTCCTCTGTTCCCACGCCGCCTGCCCACATCTGGAACCCACTGGGGCATAAGAGGATGGTCACCTGAGGGTCGGTGGGTACCGACCTCTGGTGGAGCAGTTACAGGGAGAACGGTTGGGGATGGTGAGGTCACCTTAGGACTGGAGTTTGGGGGTTGAGAGGCACAGCAGTCTTCACAGCGGGGTGCAGACAGTGGAGAGGGAGGAGACATTTTCAGAGGCCATTGGCATCCTTGGGTTGTGGTAACAATTTACCACAACTGGGTGGCTTGAAACAACAGACGTTTATTCTTTCAGGGATCTGGAGGCCAAAAGTTGGAAATCAAGGTGTTGGCAGAGCCATGCTCTCTTTGAGGCTCCTGCCTCTTCCAGCCTCTCATGGCCCTGTTGTCCCTTGGCTTGTGGCTGCACCACTCCAATTCTGCCTTGGTCTTCACATGGCTTCCTCCCTGGGTGTCTGTCCAAATGTCTTCCTTCTTATAAGGAAGGACACCAGTCATTGGATCAGGACCCATGGTAATCCAGTGTGACCCCATCTTAACTTTATTATATCTAGGGGTCAGGACTTGGACAGAGCTTGTGAACCCACAATAAGCTCTTTGTCATTTTCAGGTTGCAAATACCTTCTTGGTTTCTGTTCCCATTCTTTGAAGGCTATGGTTTGGTGGGCAAAAATTTGTTAACTTTTTTTTTTTATGGTACGTGCCCCTAGCAGGAACCGAACCCAGGACTCTCTGGTCCGCAGGCTAACGCTCCAACTGCTGAGCCAAACCGGCCAGGGCAAAATTTTTTTACTTTAATGCAGTCCTTTTATCAATATTTCCTTTATGGTTAGTGCTTATTTATCATATTGAAGAACTTGTTTCCTCCCTGAGACCAGAAAAACATTGTGTATTGTCTTCAAGACATTTTTCCAACTCAGGCTGATTTATTGAGAGTAGATTTCTGTGTGTGGTGTGAGGTAGGGATTGGGTTTGGGGTTTTCCACATGGACATGTGTTTATCAGAAGGTGGCCATCCCCCTTGCTTTGCAGTCACATCTCTGTCATAAATCAGTGGTCCTCATGTGTAGGGTTTGTCACCGTGGTCTTTGTCTACCACATCAGTACCACACAGCTTAATCCCACTGCTGTATAATAAGCTGGGCACCTGGCACGAATCCCCCTTGTCCTTCTCAAGATGTCAGATGTGTTCTTGTTCCTCTGACTTTCATATCAAATTACAGTGCTTGTCAAGATCACACAAAAAATTCTGTTGGAATTTTAATTGGTACTTATTGATTCCACAGATACATTTTATTTATTTATTTATTTATTTATTTATTTATTTTTGTTCAGATAGAGCGGGAGGGAGAGAGAGGAAGAGAGAGAGAGAAACATTGACGTGAAAGGGACACATCTAGTGGCTGCCACACTGCAACCAAGGTACATGCCCTTAGTGGGAACCGAACCTGGGTCTCTCGGGACCGCAGGCCGATGCTCTAACCACTGAGCCAAACTGGCCAGGGCCCACAGGTACATTTTAAGGGGAACTGATATTTTAAAACATGGAAACTTCCAAAATCTATGACCATATCTTTCTCTATTTACTTAAGGAATTTAGGTCTTATGTGGTCTCAGTAATAATGTTTTGACTGAGTTTTCCATGGTTTTCTGCACGGAGGTCCTCTTCATCTCATTAGACCTATTCCTGAGCACTTGCCATTTCTGATACTGTTTAAGGGATCTTTTGGGGAAAAAAAAAGTATTTTCTAATTTTTTATTACTGATATATAGAAGTATTATTGATCTCTGAATAACTTAAGTCCATCAACTTGCTGAACTCACTTTTCAATCTTCGTAATTTACTTGTAGATTCTCTTGGATTTTCTATTCACAAGAGATATTTTATCTGTGAATAACGCGGGTATGACCTTCTCTTATCCAATCCTCTCTTCTTTCTTTTTCCTGCTCCACAGCGTGGCTAAGTCTTCTAGAACCATGATTTACAGAACTCATAGTAAAGGGCCTTTTTGTCTCCATCCTGATCTTAAAGGCAAAGCTTCCATCATTCACACTCAGTAAGGATTGGTACAGGGATCTCTATGGTTGACCTTTATCAGGTTAAGAAAGTTGCCTTCTGTGCTAATAGATTTTAAAACAGCAAACCAATGTTGAACCTTATCAAATACTTTTTCAGCTACTACTGAAATAGATGAGATGATTTGTCTTTTTTATTCTGTTCATAAGGTGAAAAATACTTATCACTTTTCAGATATTAAACTAAATTTTATTTCCAGAATACACCCCACCTTTCATGATGTGTTATTGTTTTCTATCTTGCTGGATTCTGTTTGCTTGCATTTCATGTGGGGCCTTTGCACTGATGATCAGGGGAGGGATTGCTGCCATGTCCCCTCCCACATTGTCCTTGTCAAGTTTTGAGATCAAAGTTAGGTTGGCCTCACCAGCTATTCCTTCATTCTTTTCTCTGGAAGAGTTTTGTATGAAATTTGCATTATTTCCTCCTTACATGATTGGTAGAATTCAGTGGTGATGCTGTCTGGGCCTGGAATTTTTTTGATTGAGTATATTTTGTTTTTCTACTTTTTCAGTTTGGAAGTGATGTGCTGTGTTCCTTTTCTCCTAGCAGTTGGCCTAGAGGTGAAATAGTCATGACCTCCCCAGTCTTAGGGGAACCTTCACCCTCCTCTGGGCCATGCGGGCCCCTCCACCATCTCCCCACTCATCCTCCTGACTCTTGGCTCTTGTTGGGGATGCCCGCTTTCCAGGTAGCCCAGCCCTGTGTACACCATTGCTACCCTGTTCTGTCCATGTAGCATTTGGTTTACTCGCCCACATCCTCTTCTGTAGCTCTCGTTACTTCCTGCATCTCCAGGAAGGTTGCCAGTTAAAACACAGGATGCCCAGTTAAATTTGAATTTCAAATAGACAACGAAGAACTTCTTAGAGTCAGTATGTCCTATGTTGCAAATTGCATGGGATGTACTTACACTTTAAAAAAAAAAAAAACATTCGTTTTGTCTGAAATTCAAATTTGACCTGGTGTCCTGTATTTTTATTTGCTAAGTCTGGCCACCTCAAGCTTCTATCAGGGATTGTTTTCTGTTGACTGGAATCGCTGCCCTCAAATGGTTGGCAAGTGGAAGACTGTCACCATTGTATATCTGGACAGTCGCTGGTCTGCGGTGCCATCTCCTGCATGGCTGTGAGGCCCAGAGGCCAGGAAAGGACTAGAAGCCTGTGGCTGGACTCAGCTAGGTTTGTCCTGGCCACCCATGGCCCATCCCAGCTCTGTATGAGGAACATTGGGGCTAGCCTTCTCTGGACCCTCTCTGTCCTAAGCCAGCTGGGGTGGACATCTGCTAGGTGGCCAGTAGGCAGTGACCTCGTGTCTGCCTCTGGACAGGACAAGGCCCACCGTACATCATGGTGAAGCTGGGCTGCAGCTTCTCTGGGAAGCTGGGCAGAGACCCCGGAGACCAGGATGGGGCTACCATGGACTTCGTCCCTCTGATCAGTCCCCTGGATGTCAGCCAGCTCCAGCCACCGTTCTCTGACCAGGTGAGGGGCCTGGGCCAGTGGGGGGTCCTTCTCAGCCTGCACTGGGAGCAAAGGGGTGTGGCCTCCTCCAATGTGCAGGAGAGCAGGCGGAGGAAGGGCCACAGGGGCAGAAACCCCAGGGCCACATACAATCTGCTCCCTCGTCACCCAGAGCCATTCCTCATCTGTCAATGGGTAACCTGGCCACAGGTGACTGAAAATTTGTGTACTATCTAGAACATGGCCCCAGCCCATGGTGCTGCCCAAAGGGGGCTCAGCAAGCAAAATTCCCACCCTCCCCTGCTGGGCACACTGTGTCTTGGATCAAGCCTGAGATGGGGTCCCAGGACAAGTGGCTGGTGGAGGGAGAGCTTTGAGCAGGAATCTGTGAGAAGCAGAGCTCAGCGTAGCCCTACCTGATCCCATGTGCGCTCCGGAGTATGAGTGGCCCCAAGACTGTCCTACCTGGAGCAAGGAGGTGGCCATCTGTATCCCAGTCCATCAGCTACTGGCTGGGAGCCATGAGGACAGCCCCCCGCCCCCACCTCAGGCATTGGCTGAGGGCAGTTCTCCAGTGATCCGGGCTTCTGCTGTATCTACTACAGTTCTGGACCCATTTCTCAGCGGGTACCATGGGTTAGTCCTTGTCCCTAGGGAACACCCAGAGCATGGAACTGCACCTGCCTGTGTCCCTGTGCCCCTGTGCCCCTGTGCCCTCTGTGGGCCCTCAATACTCTGGGAGCCAGAAAAGAAGTCAGGGCTGACACCCTGGAAGAGGAGATCAAGGGAAGCTGCTGGTGGGGAGAGCTGGCACCCTTAGAACTGGAGGTAGTCAGCAGATGGAGGGGCTCTGGCCATGGCCTGGCCAGGCCTCATAGCTACCATGCAGACTTGCAGTATCCACTTTCCTTTGGCCTCAGCTTATAGTCACTGGATCCCAGCTATGTACTAGATAGTCCCAGCACATGGTCAGCACCTGTACCACTGCCGGGCAGCTAAGGCCAGGCCCCCTCCTCCCCAGTCCCCTCAGCTCAGCGTCCTTTTGGGTCATCTCTTTGCACAGGTGGTCATCAAGACCCAGACGGAATACGGGCTGTCCTCTGCGGACCCAGTGAAGAAGTTCCCGGACCTGGAGGCCCAGAAGCTGGCCTGCACCAACCCAGAGGAAGGACGTGGGGTAACGGAGCCCTTTCCATCCAGTGCTGCAGTGGGGGAGTCAGTCCCATGGGGGGCCAGATCAGGGTCCAGGTGCTGAGACAGCCACAGGCTGTGAGCGCCCAGGGCTGGGCCCGGTAGGCTGGCACCCCTCGCTCAGGCTCCTGTTGTCAGGAAAGTTGGACAGGAAGCATCCGTGCAGAGGCAGGGTGGAGTGGGGAATAAGGATGTTTTCTTAGGGGTGGGGTTGCTGAGGGACTTGGGGCTGAGCAGCACCAGGCTGACCTGTGGCTGTACAGTGAGTGACAGCCACTGTGGGCAGTTTGCTTGAGCACTGTGTAACTGTCTTCCCAGCAGGTCATTGGTCTCTTCCCTAGTGACTTGGTTTTCTACATACTATGGAAAGTCACTTTTCCTGCTATATGCTCTGGCAAATATTTTCTCCCACCCTTTTTTATTTATCTCTTAACTTTACTAATGATGATTTTTCTCATTTTTCCCTGTACTATTTCTAAAGGCTTTCATTTTTTAGCAGTAAAACCTGCCCCTATCCCCTATTGTTTCTGAGATGGAAGCGCACGCCCCCACCAGAGGCGAGTGGGGTGGGGGTGGGGTCTCAGCTGTGTGCCAGGGGCACCCTGAGGGCTGCCCCAGGAGTCCAGGCTGGGTTCAGTGCCCCTCTCCCACACTGGGTTCCTCTGCTTCCCCCCACCTGCAGATGCCCACAGCACGTATGATCGCCTTTGTCATGGCGCTCATGGGCTGCGTTCTGATCATGTACAAGGCCATCTGGTATGACCAGTTCACCTGCCCAGATGGCTTCCTGCTGCGGGTAAGGCAGGCAAGCTTGGGTCTAGGGTGGGAGGGGCCCTGGGGGGTCTCCTGTGGAAGCCTGGGGATGGGTGCCCCCCGGTGAGCCCAGGGCCCGTCCCACTCCTGTGGAAACATGATTTCCAAAGCTCTTTGTGTTCCCGTAACCGCCCCAGAACATATTCAAATACTCTTTTGGAAAATTAAAAGAAAAGGTGTTTTAGTGAGAGGCTTGATCTTCCTGTGAGTTAGAAGTAAGTGAAACCTAAGGTAGAAGGTGCAGCGGACAGAGGTGAGCTGGACAATCAGTTCTTCCCCGTTCGGCACCTGCTCTGTGCCAGAGGTGCCCTGGGGGGTTCCCGGTCACTTCCTCGCTGACTCGTAGTATTGTAATATGGCATTAACATTTTCTCCATAGTTGGCAAATACTTTCTCCCTTCTCTTTTTTCTCTCTTAACTTTAGTAAGTATTTAGATCATTTTTAGTGTATTTTTCTAAAGCCTTTAATTTTTCAGTAGTGCAATTTGCTCCATTCACCCTAACTCCAGTGTTTCTGGGATGGAAGTGCTCCCCCCACCCACAGGGGCCTGGGAGGCCTTGCTATATTTCCCAGGGGTTCCCTGTTAAGACCCCTCACTCGCTGGGATTCCCTTGGGTGTCCTCTGGGTAAGGGCTGGGCTGGGCTGAGTGTACTCATGGAGCCCCTCCCTTTCACACCCTCGTTCTGGGAGGGGTTGACTCTCCATGGATCCCCCACTTCTGAGTTGCTTGAAATTACGGCAGAAACAAATGTATTTAGGGTCATTCGTGTGCAGTATTATCGAACTGCTCAAAAGCAGAAGGGACAGGAAATCCTATAGGTCACGGCCCTTCTCTCCTGTGGCACACAAATGTGGCTTCCACTTCGTGGTCGATGCCACTGACGAGAGTTCGCCCTTGGCACACCTGAGCCCAGGGGCAGCGCTGCCGCCCCTCCCGGCGCCAGACCCTCGGGCCCGCCCTGCCCTGACCCGCCCCTCTCACAGCATAAGATGTGCACCCCGCTGACCCTGGAGATGTACTACGCGGAGATGGACCCCGAGCGCCACCGCAGCATCCTGGCGGCCATCGGCGCCTACCCGCTGAGCCGCAAGCAAGGCACCGAGCCGCCGGCGGCCTGGAGGCAGGGCCACCGCGCCGCCAAGGAGGGGCCCAAGGAGGGGCCCAAGGAGGGGCCCAAGGCGTCCACCCAGGCGGGCGCGGGCACCACCACCGAGCCCCCGGGGAAGCCCACCGCTCACGCCGAGGAGGCGGCGCTGAAGGCAGAGGGGAGCGCTCCGCCCCCTGCCCGGGCCCCGCAGTGACGGCCTCCGCGCCGCAGCCGGTAGGTGAGCCGGGGACACTCCAGCCAGGCCACCACTCAGAGCCGCAGACCCTCCTCCCCGCACCACCCCGCCCCCGCCAGCCTTACCCAGGGGTGCTGTCCCTCCCGCGCCAGGGTGCCCGAGGGGCGTGGGGGGCGGGCTCAGGTGGACCGGGGCAGGAGAGCGGATTCCCCACGAAAGTGGGCGGTCTCACCCCTCCTCCTGTCTCACCCCTCGGCTCTTCGTAGCGTTCCCCGCCCTCAGAACCTGTGACCGACCCGCCAGACGCTGTCCCGCCACGTGGTCGTGCCCCTGTCCCCAGAACCCCGCTGACACCCACCGCCCAGAGCCTCTAGCTCCATTGCTTTTCTCTAAGTAAAGATTCACATCCACCTGGTCTGCTGTCTATCCTGAGCATCCTCCATCTCGCCGGCCTTTTCCTGCCCCCCCCAACCCCATGTGGGTGAGCCCTTGCCTCGTGTTCCCACGGCCCAAGGGACCACTGAAGAATGGGGTGGGGCAGTCAGTTGAGCACGCGGTTTACACAGGGAGGAAGAGGGGGCCACTGTGCGGTGGGTCCAGGGGCCAAAGCCACCTGTGCACTGGGCCTTGTCTTTTCTCAGAGGCTATAGTACAATCACGTCACCTGCACCTGGGGCAGCCTCCAGGTATGGGGTCCACCCCTGACTGCCCCCAACCCCGCACCCAGCCCTGTCACCACCGTCCACCTGACAGACATCTGAATGCCCCGGCTCTGGGCAGCACCCACAGATTCCTGTTCCGAGCTGTGCCCCCAGCCTCATAGCCTGCAGGCATGAGTGACCCAATGAGGAAAGGAGCACATTCAGATCTGAGGGGCGCCGAGGTCCTCCCGGAGGGGATGGGGATAAGACCATCCCTTGGGCCTGGAGGCCCCACACTGCCCATTGCCTTCAGGGGAGGTGGGAGGTCTGAGGGGCCCGTGGACTCCTGGAGCTGTCAAGAGTGTCCTCACCCATCCAGGCAGCTCTCACCCAGGGCAGCCCCCACCCCACACCCCTCTGCCTCTGGCTGTGGACATCTCTAGGTATGTCCCAACCTGGGTGGGCCAGACCTGTGTCCCCCTCTCCCCCAGCACCTCTGATGACTTTGATCTTGGGCCCAGACATGCCACATGGCAGGAGGTGAGCTCAGGCCTTGGGACTCAGGGCTGGGTTTGGAGGTGGGGTGACAGAGCCTTGGGAGCTCATGCAGCCAGAGAAAATGGCAGGAGGCAGGACAGGCCTGCGTTCCGCACACTGTGCAGTGGCAGATGCCAGTGCCCAACAGTGTGGGTGAGCACACCACACATGGGTCAGGGTGACTGAGAGAGCCCCCTCAGCCCCAGTGTGGAGCCCCATGACTTGGATGAGAACCCAGGGTGGTCTCGGTGGTATCCAGGAACCGCTCTAGAGCCAGAGCCAGTTGGTCAGGAGTCCAACCCAGAGCTGGGTGCTGGGCCTGGGGGTTAAGGGCTGGTGGCTGGGGAACACCCTCCAGGCCTAGGTGGCAAGGTGTGTGGAGGGGGTTCTGGGAAGCTTAGGAACAGTCCGCAGTGCCTAGGAAGTAGGGTATGAGGGAAACCATGGCACAAGGAGGCGAGGTGGGCAGTGGGGTGGGAGCAAATTTGGAGGTGTGAGGAGGAGGGTGGCACTGGGGGGTCAGCAAAGGCTTGGCCATGCAGTGTCCTTAATTGCTGGGCTCCTATCTATCCATCTATCCATCCATCCATACCTCAATCTATCCATCATTATCTGTCTAACAACTCATCTATCTATCTATCTATCTATCTATCTATCTATCTATCTACCTACCTATCTATCTATCTGAGCCAGTTGAGAGGCAGCTGCTTCTTCACCCTTAAATACCTCAACGTGGATTTCCTAAAAACAAGGGCATTTTTTTTACATCACTCGATGCAATTATCAAAATCAGAAATTTAACTTTTATACAATACTATTATCTAATCTACATACCTTATTAATATTTTGCTAATCGTCTCAATAGTGTTCTTTGTCGAAAAAGAAAAAAAGAAAAAAAAAATTCTGACCGAGGACCCAACTCAGGACCCACGTTGCATTGTCTCTTACCCCCCTTTCACCTGGGACAGCTCGGGCTGTCATGACCTGGGCAGTTCTGAAGCATATAGATACTCTGTAGACTGACCTCGACGTGTATGCTGCACTGTCACAATCAGCTGGAGAGGCTGTGTTTTAGGAAGTGCTGCTGTGTCCTCCTCAGCATCCCTGGGACACACAAGAGGTCTGGTGTCCATCACTGGAGAGGTTAACCTGAATCACTTGGCTGAGGTAGATTCTGACAGTGGTTTTACCCTGGACAGTTAACATTTTTCCTTTGTAAATTAATACACTTTTTGTGGAAAGGTGCTTTGAGACTATGTAACTATTCATTCCTCATCACACACGCCCGGCCTAGCCTCACATCCACGGCTGATCCTTATCTGAATCGCTGATACTATTTTCCAAGTGGCGACGCTATGTCCATCATTTCTTCTACACTTATTAGTTGATATTCTGTTAGTTGACTGTAAGGAACACCTTTCCCCCCCCCCCTTTATTTATTGTCATTTATTTATTTTGGTGTGACCCATAGATTCCTGTTTTATTTGGTGGTTTGACATCTGTTACTATCGTTATTTATTTTTATGTTCACTTTGTTACATATCTGGCCATGGGAGTCGTCCTTCTGACAGGTCCCCACCCTTCTGAGTGCTTCCTAAGACTGGCACAAGGATGCTGCAAGTCATCTTGTACTGCCCTGGGTGCTGGTTGTGCTGACTGCTTATAGGCACTCTCAGTGGTTAGAGCTGGGGGGGGTTTCACACTTACACACACAATCTGTATCTCCCTCCTCTCTGAAGTATATATGGGTGCATACACATGTGCATGTGTAACTCCATACACATATGTAGACAAAATGCACATAAATCTATACAGTGTATGCACACAATATCTCTATACTATATGCATATACAATATACACGAATTCATAGTAAAACTCCCAATCCCAACTCCAAACCTCAGGGTTTATTCTAATTTTCCCTTTCCGCATTGATAATGCCCTTCTTCCAAGGGAGAAACCTGGTTCCCCTTATCCTCAGTGTATTTATTTGCTCAGTCTTAGGGTGCACTGGAATTCATTTCAGAATTGGTAACCCTTAACACCACAAAGCAAGCCTACAAACTGGTTGGTGTTTGTTTCAAGATGTCTTTAATCTGAGGCTAATAGTCACATGCTGTGTTCAGAGTTATCTGGGTGTGTGTTCTTCATTCCTCTGAAATATAGAGCAGTCACATTGCTGCTTGCACTCCATTTCAGGGTCTCTCCTCCACTTCCGCTCATTTCATTCTGTTGTTTTTAGTATGTAAAACACTAACCTGGTTCCAAAAGGCAAAACTATACAAAAGGTGTCGCAGAGAATTCACCTCTCCCACCCTTTGAAGGAAAACAGTCTGATTAGTTTCTAGTCCAGCATCCTTATTTATATCATAACTTTTTGCAAAAACAAACAGGTACACATACATTTTCTTATTTCTCCTACTGCACATTTTCACTGGAGGGTTATTTTTTTCCCCACGCTGACAACCACTTCTCAAATTCCCCAGCACTGGCTGGGTGTCCTACGATTCTATTCTGACACTGACCACCCAGAGACAATGGCTCAGCCACAACACTGCCCCACTTCAGTTGCCACTCGCAAGTGTCAGGTCCTAGGCCACCACACTTCTGCCTGATTGAACTACAAATATGGGGGACCCCCCTTTAGATTCAATAACTCACTAAGGTAACTCACAGAATGCAGGAAAGCACTTATCAGCAACATTACCAGCTTGTTATAGAAGATACAGCTTGGGAATGGCCAGATGGAAGAGATGCACAGGCCAAGGGGTGGGATGGGCCACCAAGCCTCCAGCACCCCATGTGTCCACCAACCTGGAAGCTCTCCAGCTCTCCTTGTTCAAGAGTTTTCATAACCCAGTATCCAGCCCCCTCTCCAGAGAGAGGTGTCCACGTTCTCATGCATTTGGTCTTTGGGAGACAAGCACCATCCCCCAATCAGGAAACTGTTTGACAGCTTATTAGCATAAACTGCCATTATGAGTAACAAAAGACACCCCTAGCACTTCGGAAATTCAAGGATTTTAGGAGCTCTGCATTAGGAACTGGGGACAAAAGCCAAATCTATGTTATTATATCACATTCACTTAACAACATATACTAGAGATCATCTATACCAGTGCTCAGAAACTCTCCTCATTTATTTCAGGGCTGCCTAGTAGCCCATTAATAGATGTACTCTAGCCCTGGCCAGTGTGGCTCAGTTGGTTGAATGTCATCCCATGTACCAAAGAGTCTCCAGTTGGATTCCTGGTCAGGGTACAGGCCCAGGTTTTAGGTTCGATCCCCTAGGGTACCTGCAGGAGGCAACCAATCAATGTTTCTCACATAGATGTTTCTCTCTCCTTCCTTCCTCTCTCTCTCTAAAATATGAATAATAAAAAAAAATTTTTTAAGACAAAAAACAGATGCACCCTATTTACTCAACTACCTATATATGGCCTTTAGGGTGCTTACAATATTTTACAAAACAAACAATGCTACAATGAATAATTTATGCATGTTTATTTTTTTAATCTTCACCTGAGGATATGGTTTTGTGTGTGTGTGTGTGTGTGTGTGTGTGTGTGTGTATTTTTTAATTGATTGCAGAGATAGAGGAAGAAAGAAACAGAGAGAGAGAAACATCAATGTGAGAAACATCGATCTGTCTCCTGCACAGCCCCAACCTGCCCCAACCTGGGATCTAACCCGAAGCCTAGGTATGTGCTCTGACCAGGAATTGAACCTGAAACTTTTTGGTGTATAAAATGACACTCCAGCCAACTGAGCCACACTGGAAACTAAGAATATGTATTTTTATTATTGGAGATTTATTATCAGGGGCAAGTTCCTAGAAGTAGTATTGCTGGGTTAAATTTTTTAATTATAAAATTTTATAATTAAATTTAAAACCAGCTCTTCTCATGCTTTAAAAACTCAATTTAGAAACCTCTTTATAGCCTGGGCCAGTGTGGTTCAGTTGTTTGGAGCCTTTTCCCATAAACAGAACATTGTAGGTTTGATTCCCTGGTCAGGGGCCTCCAGATCCATGTAGATGTTTCTCTCTCTCTCTCTTTCCCTTCCTCTTGCTCTAAATCAATAAACACATCCTTGGATAAGGATGTAAAAAAAAAAAAGCTTATTTATAAATCCAGTAATTTTTGTTAGTGTATATCATCATTTATTCTTTAATTGATATTCTATTAACTTATACAATAGATATAATCCATTTCTCTAAAGTATGTAAGACAGTCACAGATGTGACAAGCTTGATTAATTCGATTCCCTAGGTGTTTCAAATGCTAATCATAAATGGACAGATCTGATTTTTTCGAGTGCTCTCAACATGCAATATTGCAGCTCTCCTAACCCATCTTACTTAACCTCTGAGCATTTGTATGCTATCTAATCAGACCTTACACTGAAATTCTCTCATACACTCTGAAACTAAAACCCAAGTTTACTGAGGCAAAATTTAAACAATTTCAAATTAAAACCAAATCCCAGACGCTACATCCTCGTAAGAGTTTCACGGGCTTTCAGCAGCACACAACATGAATTTGAGAGACTCCCGCAACTTCTGCGTGAGCCTCCCCAGAGGCAGAGAGAGCAGAGCTCCACCCCTTCCTGATGCCTGTCACCTGCAGGAGGGCAGGCAGTGTCCCTGCTGGCGCCCTGACAGTCCTGAGTGTGAAGAGGGTGTGGGTATGACCAGGGTCAGAGTACAGGGTGGGCCCTGCCAAGCCCCCTGCAGTCAGAGTAGGACTCCAGTTTGCTACCTAGGGGTCCTTGCAGCCTCCGGGCATCCTTTACATTTTGTCCACACTCACATTTTACAGAAACTCTTGCAAAAACTCTTTCACAAGTTAGACGCCCTGGAGTGGAACCCTGAGCCAACTTTCATCAGGTGGCATGCAGGGGTGATGGGGATGACATGCCCCCACAGGACCCCAAGCCAGCTCAGCCACCTGCCTGCAGTCCTGTCTCAGGCTTCGCCCTCAGTGGAGTCAATGCTGAGACACTGCAGTTGGTCTCATCGGTGAGGTGTGTGACATGGTCTGGGGGACCTTGAGTCCAGCTCAGAGCCTAGAGGGGTCTCTTGAAGAAGGTATAAAAGCGGTAAGGCTTCGATAGTTTCAAATAAAATGTCAAAAGTTAAAAACACAATTCTTACACGTAGAGTGTCCTAGGTCCTTGGGCTCCCTAATGAAGGACCTGATGATGATGGTCACCGGTTCAAGGAGGATGTGAGAGATGTTATGTGCTCATCAGAGAAGAGACCCTGGACCCTCAGAGGCCAAGCTGGGGACAGTGGCACAGGGGGAACATGGCCTTGGGGTCATCCTTTTATGGGTCAGACCATGTGAAACATGTGGGTCTTTTTTTTTTTTTTAATTAAATATTTTTTCTTTATTGATTTTAGAGAGAGAGGGAGGGAGAGGAAGAAATAGAAACATTAACAAGAGAGAACATTGATTGGCCGCCTCCTGCATGCCCCTCACTGGGGATCAGGCCCGCAACCTGGGCATGTGCCCCAATTGGGAATCGAACCAGCGACCTCTTGGTGCATGGGTCGACGCTCAACCACTGAGCCACACCATCCGGGCAACATGTGGGTCTTTTAGGAGCTGACCTCACCCAGCCACCTCCCTCCTGTTCCGCTTCACCACTTCCTGTTGCGTCCTCCGCCTCTTCCCAGTAAATGATAATTGCAGCCCTCACACGTCTTCAAGGTCATTTCAATGTTAAACACCCTTCCCCATCAGGCAAATACTCACTAAGGGCCAGGCCTGGGGACACAAGGACAGGATCTAGGAGATAGAGACCTCTACTCAAGTCAGTCATCACAGCCCCTCCCCAAGGCTGCTGTCCCAGAGACAGACACATCAGCTCCTCAAGTCAGTCCCCAGCAGAGCAGGGTCTTCTGCCAGGTGCCTGGGAAGGAGCTCCAGGAAGAAAGAGGAGCCTGGGACTTGGGATGGGGGTCAGAAGGAGGCCAGTTCACGAGGTGACTCCATGCCTATGCTATGGTGCCCAGAATGGCAGGTTTCTGTGGGACTGGGCAGGTCACACTGTGGGTCACATGTCAGGGTCACACCAGGAGGCCACATGCCCAATCCCAAGGGAAGGTCGCTCACAGGGTCTCTGGGACGTTGTATGAGGAACCTACATTTGTCTGTGACTCTGCAGCCACTGTCTAGGCCTGTGCTGATGGGAGGGGGCAATGGTCAGTTTAGGGTGCTACAGGCCAAACACAATGGATGTGAGACAGTAAAACCACAGAGCCACTGAGCTACTCTCGCCAACACAGCACCTAGCCATGGCCCAAGGCTCTCCGGGGTGAACCTAACTTCCTCTGGCAGGACATTTCCTGTCAACTGCTCATTGGCAGGTTGGTAACCTGAAGCCCAAGGCAAAGCTCCAGGACTACTTCTTACCTACGAGCTCCAGCCTGAGCTTGGACTGGAGCTGAGGGGGTCTTTGGGAAGAGGTGTGAGGCATACATTCTGGGAGTCTTACTCTCCTGGGGGGCACAGAGTGATGGGGGCCATGCAGCTCAGGGCCAACTCAGCCTGATGCTGCTCCCTGCTGTCTCCAATATCCTGAACCAGTTCTCAGTGACCCCCCAGGGGTACCACCGCTGCACACCATCCCCCAGAAGGAGAGAATGGAAACAGGCTGAGGTCCTCCTTTCAGAACACGGGCCAGGGCAGAGCAGAAAGGCTGCACCAGTCTGAAGCCAACAGCCACAGATGCAGGTCTGATGGGGTGTCCATGCCAAGAACAACTCACGCATGTGCAGCCATGTACGGCTGTGGTTGGTACCCTGAAGACTTTTGGCATTGAAGGCAGGAGCTCAGCATACGTGTGTGTGTGTGTGTGTGTGTGTGTGTGTGTCCAAGTCCCTATGCGTGTCCCAGAATGAGGGGAAGGTGCCTGGAGGGGCTACATTCTGCACCGGCCTCTGGATACTGACCAGCCATGAAGAGAGGGGCAGTGACTGTCTCCTCCAAGGGGTGGCCAGTCATAAGGTTACTCCTTCTCTGTGTGGTCTCCACACAGGTAGTTTGTTTGTTTGTTTTTTATCCACACCCGAGGACTTTTTTTTTTTTTTGCATTTATCTTCAGATAGAGCAGGAGGGAGAGAGAGAGGAAGAGAGAGAGAGAGAAACATCAATGTGAGAGAGACACATTGAGTGGTTGCTACCCACACGACCCCAACCAGGCCAGGGACAAACTGCAACCGAGGTACGTGCCCTTAGCGGGAAGCGAACCCAGGACTCTTCGGTCCGCAGGCTGACTCTCTAACTGCAGACCCAAACTGGCCAGGGCCACACAGGTAGCTTGAACCTGTCAGGCTGGAGCAGGACACCAGGCCTGGTACGCTGACAGTAGTCACCTCTGCCCTCAGAGCAGGCAATGCAGGGGACCTCGGGCCACTTTGCATGGCACAACAGACCAGAGCTGAGAGGCTGCCCACCAGCTAGGCCTCACCATAACCATGTCCACAGGGGCACTGGATGTTCAACACAAGGCACTGCCCTGGGGCCCACCCACCGTCACAAGGACTTAGCCCCAAACCCCCTAACTCTCCAGCTGCACAGAGACATACTGGCAGAAACACAGGCCTGGCTCCAGGTGGCCCTGGGCTCCCTCAATGTCCCTATAGGGGGGAAAGTGTGCCTGAACCAGGCAGCAGGCATAGGCACAGGAAAAGCGCAGCAGGGCCTCCTGGAACAGGGTGTTGCCGTCGGGGAACTCGAGGAAGGCACGCCTGCAGTCCTCCAACTGCACAAACACGAAGGACAGCTGATTCAGGGTCTCGCAGCCCATCAGCACTGAGTGTGGTGCCAGCAGCAGGTTGGCCTCCCCCACCCTGAGGGCCAGCTCCTGCATCTTCCTCCTAGAAAACCTTCTGAACCAGCACAGGCTGTTAACTGCCAAGACCAGGAAGAGGAGGCATAAAGACACACCGGTGGTGATTAGCAGAAACCGTGGCCCTGGCTTTGTGTCCTGGGTCCAGAAAATCATAAGGACAGGGATTGAGGCACAGAAGAGAAGAATGAGGAAGATGCCAAGTGGGATCCTGCAGCCCAGGTACCGGAGGCAGGATCTGGGAGACTGCACCCCATTCAGGATGCCCACAGCATGCTTGTACACCTCGGGGTCCTGCAACACCTCCTTCAAGGGGTCTGGGACGCTCAGGGTGCTGAAGGTCCCCACCTTCCACGAGGGCAGGTTGTCCCTGTTGATGCAGTTCAGGGTCAGGAGGGTCTTCCCACTGTAGAGAGAAGGGAGTGGGCGTGGGCCAGGCAGGGATCGCGCCATGCGGTGGCTGGGTGTGCACAGGAGCCGCACCACCTTGCTGTAGAAGCGGCTGTCCGTGGCCTCCAGGTAGGTCAGGTGACTGAGGTGCAGCGGGACCTGGCAGGGTCGCAGCAGCACAGGGATGACCGGCTTCCTCTCCAGGCAGTAGCCGAAGAGCGACAGGTCAGCCTCGAGGAGGCACCACCTGCTCTGCACAAAGTCCTGGCTCAGCACCAGCAGCACCTTCTGGCTCTGAAGGATGCACTCGGCCATGTTCTCCAGGACATTCCTGCCCGGGGTGAAGTCCCGCTCGTGCAGGCAGACCCTCAGCCCAGCGTGGTCAGCTTCCAGGCGGCCGATGAGCTCGTGGGTCCACGTGGTGTCCACGCTGCTATAACTGACAAATAGGTGGAACTTCTCGCTGGCCCTCAGTGGGGGGATGGCCAGGGCTTCGCCTTCCTCCTTGAAGCTGGCATCCATGGTTGCTGCCCCTGAGCTGCTTCTGTTCTCCCACAGAGAAAACCACCCTCAGGCTGCAAGAGATCAGGACAGACGGACTGACTATGCACACAGACAAGACCAACCATCGTACAGGGAGAACGAGGCCCACAGCTTGCAGCAACCGGCTGGGAAGTCACAAACAACCCCTGCGATGACCTAACAGCTGGCCCAGCCCCAAGCAACTCTGAGGCGTCAGCCTCTGCTGTCCTCACCTGGGCTTCAATCATGTCCACAAGACATTTGACTTTGAAAGGCTTGGGGCACATAGAGGCCACACTTTGCAGTCCTTTCTATTTCTTCACAAGTGGCTCATGCCATCATGAGTGGGTTGCTATAGACTGAGTGTTTGTGTGTCCCCTCCGCACATTTGTATGTTGAGACCTAACCCTGATATAATGGTGGCAGGAGCTGGGCCTTTGGAAGTTTATTAGATCATGGAGTGGGGCCCTCGTGATGGGATCATTGTTCCTATAGAAGAGGCCTCGCCCCCTCCTTGTGAGGACACAGCCAGGACTAGGAAGCAGGACACTGGCTTCTCCAGAACCCGACCATGCGGGCACCCAGCGCTCAGGCCCACAGCCTCCAGACTGAGAGCAATGGATGTGTGCTGCTTAAGCCGCCCTGTCTCTGGTGGGTAAGGAGGCTGAGCGGATGGAGACGGGTCCCCCTCTGCAGCACTTGCTCTGGGAAGAGCCCGCACGCCTTCCAGAAACACAAGAACTTTCTCTATGTGGCTTAAGACCCTCAAATAGAGATTCTGCAGCTCAGACTTTGTGAGCAGAGGGCTGAGCTTGAACTGCCACAGTTGGGGTCTGTCTGCTTGTCTTCCCAGGACTCGTGACTGGGGGCTTGCTCATGTGCCCACAAGCAGCTGAGTGGACCCAGCAAGAGGTCCGGGATGCAGAGCCAGCTCTGTAGGCACCAAGCAGGCTGTGCCCTCACTCTGCCTGGTGGTCCCCAGCTGAGAGCCTTCCCCACTTCAGTGAGCGGCCAGCGGCAGTGGGGTCATGAGGAATGCTCAGTTAGCCCTGCAAGGTCCCCATGCCCTCCAGCCAGCTGCTTGGAAAATAAAGGAGGAGGAAGCCTATCTGCCACTCCCCAGTTCCACAGGCTCCCTGGTCCCCACCTTTACAGGCTCCCTGGTCCCCACCTTTACAGGGTCTCTGGTCCCCACTCCCACAGGGTCCCTGGTCCCCACCTCCACAGAGTCCCTGGTCCACACCTCCCCAGGGTCCCTGGTCTCCCCCTCCCCAGAGTCCCTGGTACCCCCCTCCGCAGGGTCCCTGGTCCCCACCTCCCCAGGGTCCCCCCCTCCCCAGAGTCCCTGCCCCCCCTCCCCAGAGTCCCTGCCCCCCCTCCACAGGGTCCCTGCCCCCCCCTCCACAGGGTCCCTGGTCCCCACCTCCACAGGGTCCCTGGTCCCCCCCCACACAGGGTCCCTGGTCTCCCCCTCCACAGGGTCCCTGGTCCCCACCTCCACAGGGTCCCTGGTCCCCCCCACACAGGGTCCCTGGTCCCCACCTCCACAGGGTCCCTGGTGCCCCCCCCACAGGGTCCCTGGTCTCCCCCTCCACAGGGTCCCTGGTCTCCCCCTCCACAGGGTCCCTGGTCCCCCCCTCCACAGGGTCCCTGGTCCCCACACACACAGGGTCCCTGGTCCCCACCTCCACAGGGTCCCTGGTCCCCCCTTCCACAGGGTCCCTGGTCCCCCCCCCACAGGGTTCTTGGTCTCCCCCTCCACAGGGTCCCTGGTCCCCCCCCACACAGGGTCCCTGGTCTCCCCCTCCACAGGGTCCCTGGTCCACCCCTCCACAGGGTCCCTGGTCCCCTCCACACAGGGTCCCTGGTCCCCCCCTCCACAGGGTCCCTGGTCCCCACCTCCACAGGGTCCCTGGTCCCCTCCACACAGGGTCCCTGGCCCCCCCTCCACAGGGTCCCTGGTCCCCCCCTCCACAGGGTCCCTGGTCCCCTCCACACAGGGTCCCTGGTCCCCCCCTCCACAGGGTCCCTGGTCCCCACCTCCACAGGGTCCCTGGTCCCCTCCACACAGGGTCCCTGGCCCCCCCCTCCACAGGGTCCCTGGTCCCCACCTCCACAGGATCCCTGGTCCCCACCTCCACAGGGTCCCTGGTCCCCCCTTCCACAGGGTCCCTGGTCCCCCCCCACAGGGTCCCTGGTCCCCACCTCCACAGGGTCCCTGGTCCCCCCTTCCACAGGGTCCCTGGTCCCCCCCCACAGGGTCCCTGGTCCCCACCTCCACAGGGTCCCTGGTCTCCCCCTCCACAGGGTCCCTGGTCTCCCCCTCCACAGGGTCCCTGGTCCCCACCTCCACAGGGTCCCTGGTCCCCACCTCCACAGGGTCCCTGGTCCCCACCTGCTCTACCAGGTAGCTGGGAGGAAGGCTCCTGCAGGCCTGGTGATAAGGAGGGAGCTTGTTCCCTTAGCCCACCCAGCAAAGCCCAGCAGAAGTCTTTGCAAGAGGCCACCAGGCCCACTCTCCCTGCCCAGCGAGCCCGCCTGCCTCAGTGCATCTCCTCCAAGAGGTGGCATGTGAGGGTCAGGGAGCAAGCCGCTGAGGGCCTCAGCTGGAAAGCCCTCCCTTTGCCCATTGTCTCACCCAACAGTCGAGAGGGTAGCGGCGGGTCCTCCCTCAGGTCCCGCCCTCCAGGACAAAGCAACCTGCAGCCCTGCACACAGGAATCCCACTGACAAGAGGTCATCTCACCGGTCAGGGGCAGTCTGGCACCAAGTGTCGAAATGTCACAGGCTCTCAGGTGGCTGCACTGACACCACGGATTCGGTCCTCAGAGGGTCTGCGGGGCAGCCAGCAACTCTACCCCAGATTTGTCTCCAGACAGGAAGTTTGTGAGCCACACTTTCTAGACGTGTCTCTGCTGAAACTAAAAAGAGAAACAAAAGAAGGAAGTGGACTGTGCAAGAGGCCAGCGTGTCACGTGGGACAATCACAGAAAAGATTGCTGGGGCCTCACAGCTGTGGCAGAAATCAGAGGCAAGCTGGCCGGGGAGTTCTCGAAATCGGTCTGCTGATGAAGCTGGGTGCTCTGGGGGCCATGCAGCTGGGGTCCCTCCAGTGGGAGGCAGTGACAGGAAGGGCCACCCGGGACAGGGAAGCTCCAGGTTGCTTGAGCGGAGCAGGTCCAGCCAGATTGGTGTGGGAGTCACACTCAGCGTCCCCAGGGATGGCAGCATCCAATAGGGGAAGATCCTGACTGCTGGGTAACTCTCTCCACACAGCCCCACTCTGGGCTCCGGCCCCCTTGAGCGAAGGGCGGGCAGCAGCCAGGGACCCGCCCCTCCTGGTGGCTCCCCCAAACGCACCCAGAGCTTGTAACTGGCCCCTCACCACTTCTGTTCCATAACCCAAGTGACTGACCATCTGTACCCCTCTCAGCCCTGCCTCAGTTTCCTCATCTGATCAGCAGAGACTGATGGGGTCAGGGAGGAAGGGAGGGACACAGGCAAGGTGGGAGGCTGGCAGGAGGGGATTCAGGGAAAGGCAGTACTGCTCTTTGCTCCTGTTACCTGTGCCCAAGAGTGCGGGGGCTGGGGCATAATGCACAGGCCCCAGGGTGGGTAGTGTCAGTGGTTCAGTGGGGCGGAAGGCTGTGCGTGGGCACATTGTGGGACATCTCCACTGTGAATCTGTCCAGAGGGGCAGGTAGACCCATCTGGTCTCAGGAACTGATTCTGGGGAAGCTCTGGGTCCTTGGCCCTGGTGGCATGGACGTGACGTGTCCTGGGAGCCCCTTACCCAGTGGCTATGTGGAGATGTGGGCCAGGCAGCTAGGTGTATGTGGCCGGGGTGTGGCAGGTGCTGAGGGAACGTGCAGTCAGAGAACCTGTGGTGGGGACCTCGCCCTTCTGTGTATGTGGCCGGAGTGTGGCAGGTGTATGTGGCCAGAGTGTGGCAGGTGCTGAGGGAACATGCAGTCAGAGAACCTGTGGTGGGGACCTCGCCCTTCTGTGCTTGGGTGCCAGGCTTAGCGGGTCCAGTGGTGGGAAGGTCCAGGACCCGGATGGAGCAGCAGCCCAAGGCCACGTTTTGAGATGAACAGGAAGCCCCAGTGGCAAGGCTGTTCCTTCTGACTCTGCTCCCTCATGGGTCCCATGACCTGAAGTCTGGATGCTGGGACAAGGCCCGTCCTGCCGTGGAGTGAGAGGGTGGGCATTGTTGGGTTAGGGCAACGTCTCCATCCAGCCCTAACATACACGAGTCTGTGTGCTTTTGTGCATGTTTCAAACTTTTTGTAATTAAAGCACCTTAACAGAAAACAGGAAGATGAGGAGGAGGAGGCAAACCTGAGGGTAGGGGGAGTGAGAAGGAGGCAATGATGAGCCAGGACGGGAGGGTGGTACCCGGGCCATGTGCTTGGGTGTAGGTGGGCATTGGAAAGTCTGGCTGGTTACTCGGGTGCACAGACATCTTCAACCCGACTGGACGTGAACCCGAAGCTGAAACCTGAATGAGGGTGCCAGGCTGCTTTGCTGTCTCAGCTGCCAAGAGCTACTTGCAGTGGTCCTGGAAGGTCAGGAGATCCCGTGACTGAAGCCATGCTTGGAAGCTGAGTTCCAAAAGGGTGGCACTTCCAGGGGGAGCTGGACTGGAAAGAAAATCCAGGTAGCAAAGGGAAATGGCAGAGTATCCTGTTGATCTCAGCCCTGTCTGGTGGCTGGAGGTCATGTCCAGCTGGAATCTGAGGGCACAGGGGGGCGTACAGGGATGGGTTGTAGTTTACTGTGTGGTTCAGCAAGCAAGTGGGCCTAGGTCGCTAACAGGAGCATCCCAAGTCCCTTCTGGAACAATGTGGCCCTCAAAGCACTGCGCAGGATCCCACAGCAAAACCAACACCACTAATACACAAGCAGGAAACCTCCCTGGTCGGAATTCAGCAGAAAGGGGAAACTCAACGATCTTCAGAAAGTGAAATTAGAGTTATCACAGATGAGATGCATGTGGTTACAATTTTGAGAAATAAAAGAATTGAAAATATGAAACAGGGTCCAATGCTTTAAAGAAAGAAAAAAAATTACAAGTTATGATAAAATCTTTCGAAATGAAAGTGGGCCCAGCCAGAGTGGCTCAGAGGTTGAGTGTTGACCCATGCACCAAGAGGTCGCTGGTTTGATTCCTGGTCAGGGCACATGCCCAGCTTGTGGACCCAATCCCCAGTGCGGGGCATGCAGGAGGCAGCCAACTGATGTTCTCTCTCATCGATGTTTCTTTTTTTTTTTTGGTGGTATGTGCCCCTAGTGGGAACCGAACCCAGGACTCTCTGGTCCACGAGCCAGTGCTCAACCACTGAGCCAAACTGGCCAGGGCCCTCATCGATGTTTCTAGTTCTCTCTCCCTCTAACTTCTTCTCTTTCTCTCTAATATCAATAAAGAAAAAAAATTGAAAAATAAATAAGAATTTCTAAATTAAATCAAAGGACGAGAAACAAAGAAGCAAAGACAAAGTGGAGCAAATGGCAAGCACAGAAAAGATCGTACAACTAAATGCACATATATCAGCAATTATATTAATATAAATGTATTTGATACATCAGTTAAAATATAGAGGTTTTTAGATTGGCTAACAAGTAAAATTCAGCGACATGCTGTTTACAAGAGACCTGCCTTGAACATGGAGACAGAAGAGTTAGAAGTAAAATGGACACTCGTCCGAGTCCAAGGGCCTGAGGGCTGGACGAGGAGCTGGGACCAGGCAAGGTGAAGCTGGAAGGGTGGGGGCATGGGAACCAGGCCACAGAATCTGGGAACCCCCTTCTTGTTGGGCACAGGAAGTGAGATCCCCCTCCACTCCCAGCTCCCTGGTCTCAAGAGGCAGGGTGGGGAGTCAGGGCCTGGCAGGGGGTGGGGCCTGGGAAGCCCCCTGGAGTGTTCGGGAGAAGGAAGAACTGGGACCGAGGGGTGTCCCTCGGCACACACTGTCCTACAGGGTCCTGAATACATTCCTTCCTACGACGCTGCTCACAAAATAAGATGGCATATGACCCACTATGGCCAGAAAGTGGAATCATCCAAAGGCCTAAAGGACACACAAAATGTGGGGCACCCACACAGCACAGCAGCCTTGAGGGCCCGGCAGCCCCTGCCACGCGCAGGAGCCCTGGACGCGCTGTCCTGAGTGAGGGCAGCCAGGCACAAAGCACCGCAGTCCGATTCCACCGACAGGACACGCCCAGAGCGGGCAGATCCCCGAGGACAGGAAGCGGCCTCGGATTCCTGGTTGCCAGAGGCTGGGGGAGGGGATGTGGAGTGACAGCTGCTGGGCATGAGGTTTCTCCTCTGGATGACAAAGATATTCTGCGATTCGGTCACTGCGACGGCTGCACAACTTTGTGGAGACACTAACAGCCACTCAAATGTGTACTTTCAGATGGTAATTGTTACAGTGGAGCCCACCGGGAACCAGAACCCTGAGCGCCACTCCTGGTCACATGCAGGGCCTCGGAGAAGCTGACTCTGCAGATGCTGCTGGAGTCCAGGGAGAGGAAGTGCCACTCTCTGGGGCTGAGCTGCCAGTCCCTTTGGGGCTTCCAGTGTTTTCTTAAAACAGAGCCAAGAGGGCTTCACCTCTGCTTAGCTGGGGCTTTCTGCTGGGTTGCAATTCTCCTCAGCCTCCAGTGACCCTCTGGACCTGGAAAAACACCCCCACGGGCTTGGCCAGCCACTGACCAGCCTGTCTGTCCTGCTCCACCCTGGCCTTGAATTTTGATTGACTCCCTCCTGAGGTTGGTGGTCACCTCTCCCTTCTCATGAAGGCTGGACTGGATGACCTCAGCCCACTGCTCTCTGAGTCCCTTTGAACACTGTCTGGACAGCCAGAGGCACTGCATGGTGGGGGGATAGTGAGACCTCACTGTCCTACAGGACCCAGAACTGACTCCTCCTGGCCTCCCGGAGTCCCATGGCCCTGTCCTTAGCACCCCTCACTTCCAGGGTAGCCGCCACCCCAAATGCTCTGTCCTCAGGTCCACCCACTCTGCCAAGCCTCCATTTCCTCTGCTGGTGCCCTTTCTCTCTTTGCTTCCAGGTCCCGGGTTCAGCCTCTGAGTTATGCCCACAGTATTGCACCCTATCCCCAGCATGGGTGCTGCATCCCAGCTCACTGGCCCTGCCTGGCTGGGCTCCGTGAGGTGGACACTGAGGCTGCGTGTCTGGCCCCAGCATGGCTTGACCCAGCCTGTCCACCCTCCTCACCCCAGCCCAGCCCCACTCAGTTTTTGTCTCTCACTTTTTGGCTCCTGGGGAGCTCTCACTTGGGGAGCCGGACACTCACTTCCTCTCTGTTTTCAAGGCCACAGTGGAATGCTGCCCCAACCCCAGGGCTGGCATTTCCTGGCAGGCAGCAGGAGTCAGCTTTCTGCCAAGCAGGAATGCTGGGCACTGGGCTCTCCCCAATGGCAGGTAGAGAGTGTGCTGTCCACAGCCCAGGCCAGCATGGCCGAGGCTGTCAGTGTCACTCAGGGAGCTAGATGTCCTTGCCAGCCACAGCCATGGGGGCACAGGAGGAGCTCTGGGCAACAGAGAGAAGCCCATGATTAGGGTGTCCCTCTCGGCACTGTCACCTGGTCTTTCCTCTTGGGGAAGCTCCTCCAAGGATTCAAGAACATCTATGGCCCTATCAGGGTGTCACGTGGACATCTGTGGTGCCGTGTCTAAATGTGGAACTGACAGAGGGACAGGCCAGGGCCGGCCCAGAGGTCAGAGGGCAGGTGAGGGGTTCCTTGTTAGTGGGCCCCAGCTCTCTCCTGACACACTCTTAGGCAGGTTGCTATTGACCAAGGAAGGATCTCATGAGTCTGAATGTGACTTTAGCAAAGCTGAAGGTAGAAGGCTGAGGTCCCATGAGCCAGG